GTACTCGTCACCCCTCGGAGACACTGCAGCACCAAGCGAAACAGGCTGCTGGAGCAGGCAGCGCGTCATCCGCGATCGCCCTCTTCATCACTCGGAGCACGGCATCCGAAGCCAGTCACGAGTCGCTCGTCCCTTCCACCGGGCGGAGCACCTCGCGTTCGCGGCGGGAGCACTTTCGCGCTCGCCGAAGCACCATCGTGTTCTTGTTCATGGTTGCCGATCGGCACGGGCCCTCGCACCCCCTCTCCCCCCCCCCCTGGAGTAGATCTTGGCTGTCTTTGGCGCCAGTGTCAAGCAGGTGAGGTCTGCCCCCCACGGGACGCACTGCTGCAAACAGTCTCATCAAGCAGAGGTCTCGAGCCAGCCCTCCCGCCCCCCTCCCTCTCCCTTCCGCCCAATGTCAAAACGCCAGAAAAGAACGCGCTCACCTTCGGCACCCCTCAGCACAAATTTGGTCCACGTCCCTAACACTCGCTTCCCAGTAATGCAGGCATAGGGTGAGTCGGAGGTTGATAGACCTCCTACCCTGACACGTCGGTTTGCGAATTGGCCGTTTTCGGTTCCCGAGAGGGCGTCGCGGCCGTCATCTGTGCGGGTCCAGGTCCGTCGGTTTCGGTCCTAGGCCGCTTTCACTAAAGGGTGGTTTATTAAAGGGAGGTTTGCCCACCGCCGAGTGAGGACAAATTGCTTCAGAGCGTTCCAAACGCTCCCCCGAGCGTTACGTCGCGCTCTTGGACGGTCGCGGCGAAGTAGAGAGCAGGGGTAGAGAGTGACAAGCAGAAGATGGAGGATAGAGCACCTCTAACGGGGAGGCTCATAGTGCAGGGCAGAGAGTAAAATCGTAGAGGGCAAAGGGTAGACACATGTATGATCACAATCGTAATATGTTGCCCTCGCGGACCAGTATTCCACCTCTTCGATCGGATTCGCAAGAGCGCTGGTCGGGAGGCTCCCTGATGTGATGGGCAGCCCGTATTTCGATTCGAATGTTGCTCCGTCTCGCGATGCTCGACAGCGACTAAAGCGAGAACAAACACGAGACGACCCCGTCTATGTGCGGCTGTTCCCAGCTCTGCATCATCTCTGCGGTAACCCCAAGGACCGAACCGGGGCACAGGAGCCCGAGTCTGCGGACACGTGCCCGTCATTTGTCGCGCCGAGGATCGGAGGATCTGCCGCTCCAGACGGACCCTTTCCAGTCAGCATTCGACCCTCTCGGGATCGGTTATCCCAAGGTGGGGGCCAGGGAATAAACCTGGATGCTCGCATGGGCCGTTCGTAGAACGATGTTTGTCCATCCCCACATCTGCCTCTGCACGCCAGACGGCGCCTTCCTGCACTGCTGCGACCTCGCCCCACCGGCGCTGCGTGCAGCAACACGACGCTGATAATCAGCGTAGGTTACCTGTGAGCCTCCAGCGAGGGAAGATTCGGTCTGCCGCAAAAGAACTCTGCCGCTGGCCCGGCTCCACGCCCCCACAACTGCCAGCTGGCGCTGAACCATCAACCGTCAGCCTGGTCACCGCCGGGTACCTCCTAGAGCTCTCTGAAGTGCTTCGGACACCAGAAAGAGCTCAGGATGCAACGGGGAAGCCCCGGAGAGCACTCTTTCAAGTGCTCCCGCTCCCGCTCCCGCACCCGCTCCCGCCCCTCTCCCGCTCCCGCTCCTCCTCCGCTGGGGCCTCCTCCTCCTCCTCCTCCTCCTCCTCCTCCTCCTCCTCCGCCGCGCGAGCTCGACTGGATAGCATGAAGCCGATCCCCGGAACCACGCCCCCTCGCCTCGCAGCGGCCCGCGCCCTCGAGGTGGCGCGGCCGGCCCAGCCGCACCGGCGCGCGCGTCGTGGCCAGCCGCCCCGCCGCGCCAGCGGCGAGCGCGCGGCCCAGAGGCGGGGACCTTTGGCGGAGCACCGGCGGGGCCCGGCGGGCGGCGGCGGCGGCGGCGGCGGCGACGGGCTCAGCGGACGGGCTTCGGCCCGCTGGGCGAGCGGGCTCCTCCTCCTCCTCCTCCTCCTCCTCCTCCTCCTCCTCCTCTCCTCCTCCTCCTCCTCCTGCTCCTGCTCCTGCTCCTCCTCCTTCCTCCGTTCCCTCCTCCTCTTCCTTCCTCCGTTCCCTCCTCCCCCGACCCCTCCCTCCTCCGGCCCCTCCTCTCGTTGCGGGAGCAGTCGTGGCGAGCAGTCCTTGGCCACGCGTGGCCTCCGGGGGCCGCCTCCACGCCCCAGCACCGCCGAGAAGCTACTCGGGATGAGAAGCGGGTCGCGGGCAGGGGTCGAGCTCCCCGGGGGCCCACGCTGCGGTAAAGTCACGACGTTTTTGAGCCCTGGGTCCTCGGAGGCATCTGTGCGCGTTCGCTCTTGACGTCCGCCGGTCGAGCAGCCTGGCGAGCGACGCCCACGGGCAAGTGTGCGCCGCACCCTCGGGGGCGTCCAGCGAGGGTCGGGTATAGCCAGGACCGCAGGTAAGGGGGACCCGGTTGGTGGTGGGGCCCCGTAGCCCCTAACTTGGCCAGAATCACTCAACCAGGTCTGCCGAAACCTTTTTTTTTTTCCGGGTGACGGCAGTTCTGGTTAGTGGAATGGGGCGGGGAGGGCGTCCCCCAGTACACATCACTAAACCAGGTCCCACTAAAAAACCCAGTTCTGCCAACGCCCGAGAGCGGGGCAGGGACTGAGGCGGGGTATTATGGCCAGGGCCATTCCTCCTCCCCGATCTCATGGCCCCATCTTCCTCTTTCGGTACGCCCCTGACCCCCGCTCGCCTGCGCTCATGCCTCGGGCCTCGATGCGCTTCCCCTCCCCCTCTTCCTGGCCCCCTCCTCTGTCGGTACACCGGATGCACGCCGCACCCTCGCGTGCTCTTCTTGTGTTTGCCGCATCGCCCGCGGGCTCACAGCAGGTTCGCGTCGTGTCGACTGGCCGCGACCTCGCCGCCGGCGTTCAGCTTTGAACGCCGCCAGCGACCCAGAATCGATCAGCCGAACGACCTGGCGTTTCGGACACGGCCGATGGTTCGAGGTTGAGCGAGCCCCGCAGCGTCAGAAACCAACGCCGAAGATGGCACGACACAAACCTGCGGTATGCTCTCGGCGCGGCCAGCGTCCGCCCATCTGCGAAGTGGGCCAGAGGGAGAGACGCAGCACTCTCGCAGAATCGCTCACCAGCACCGCTCGTTAAGGCAGGGTCCATCCTTCGCAAGGCACGACTTGCTCCTCCAATGCCACTGGAGCGACGAGCCGACCGCGCGGACATTCGCGAGCAAGTTGCCCGCGTAAGGTCGCGGATCGCTCACCAGCGCCACTCGTTGAGGAAGGGCTCATTCTTTGGAAGGCACGACTTCTCCGATGCCACCAGAGCGATGAGCCGACCGCGCGGACATTCGCAGGCAAGCTGCCCGCATAAGGTCGCGCCTGCGCGCCCTCGTTCTCCACGCGGGCGAGGCAAAGCGTTGGCGGCATGCGCAAAACATCGCGTAGGGCTGACGCGTCGCCACGTCGTCCTGCGTAAGACTCCTTTTCTTCGTCGCCCACTTGTGCGTTGATGATGAGCGTTGCGCTAGCGGGCAGAGCGTGAATGCCACATCACTGCGTCCACGACGCCCTCGACCTCCTGAGGTGCTGTGGACAAATTCAGCGGAGATGTTCGATCTGCAAGGGGTCGCCCGAACACGCGAAGCGACTGCCTCGCTTTGCTTGGTCAGGCTGATGTGCAGCTTTGCTCTGTGAAGCTCCTGCCAAGATGTGAGGCCAATTCCTATCTAGCGTCCACGCACGACCAGGAGGCACCCCAGAAGCATCACACTGCGGTTCCTGTCGTATGAGGTGCGTGTGTACATATATGTATATATGTGTATATGTGTGTGTATGTGTATGTGTTTGTGTTTGTGTTTGTGTGTGTTTGTGTGTGTGTTGGCTTCCGCCGTTCGTGCCCGACAGGGCGTAACCAGAGTAGTCGGCACGGGTCCGCGCCGGCTTTCGGGTTGACGTTGGAGGCTTGCAGGCCAGGTGCCCAGCCCAAAGCGGAGTCGTCCAGCCACGCGCAGAGGGGGGTGGGGGGAGGGGGGAGGGCTTCTTAGAAGCACCCCTGCTTCTTAGCAGGTGCGGGCCTTATCTATAGATGTAAGGCCCGCGCCTTCTAAGGAGCAGGGGTGCTTCTGAGAAGCCCTCCCCCCTCCCCCTACCCCAATGTGCGCGCCGCCAAGTCGTGAGCGCACCCCGTCGAGAAATCACGAAGCGAGGTGCGCAGAGGGGCCACGGGCCGCGGCACCCCCGGTCGTGCGGCAGAGCCGCCCGCGGGGACCGCTGCCCCACAGCTGAATCTCAGGAGGGAAGAAACAACACACAGACACAATGAATCGTCAGCTCCCAGGAAAATATGTGAAAATACTGGAAGTGGGGGGGAAGACGAAAATCCATAAAATCTGAAAAAATGTTGGGAATATTGGTATCTGTGTGTTTTTGTTTCCCGGAAAGGGCATAGGCCCAGGGTTCTCTTTTAGCTGTTTGCCCCCGGATCTGACGGCTGTAGGGCCGGCGAATTTCTTCTGCGATAAATAACGAGGTCGCGTAGGGCCGGCGAATTGAAATTTGAGCATGTCTCGAGCGAAACGCTTGTTTTCATAATTTGTTGAGGATTTCTCGAGCGAAACGCTTGTTTTGTGTTGTAGATTGTTCTCTCCTGGGGACCTGAATTCAGAGGATCTCTCAAGACTCAAGTGAAATTCCTGTTTTCACGTGCCCAGGTCTTGAGGATGTCTCGAGACGCTTGGTTTCACGCCTCCAGGTTGCCCAGACCGAGGTCTAGCGCCAGGATTTGTTGAGGATGTCTCGAGTGAGACGCTTGGTTTCACGCGTCCTCGTCGCCCAGGCGGATGTCTAGCATGAGGATGTGTCGAGGAAGTCTCGATCGAGACGCTTGTTTGCACGTGTCCAGGTTGCCCAGGCGGATGCGTAGCATGAGGATGTGCTGAGAACGTCTTGAGCGAAACGCGTGTTTTCACGTGTCCAGGTCGCCCAGGCACAGCACAGCCCTCGGCACGGTACATCAATATCGATACCCTTAGCATTGCAGCCTGGCATGTTGCCTGGCACGTTCCGCGGAGCGTCCCGTGGCGAGTCCCCCTGGCACGTCGCGCGGTGCACGTCCATTGGCACGTTCCGTAGCGCGTCCCTTTGGCACGTCCCGCGGTGCGTGCCCATGGCACGTCCCCTGGCACGTCGCCTGGCGCGTCCCTTGGGACGTTCCGCGGCGCGTCCTCCTGGCATGTCCCCCTGTCGATTAGTTCTGGGGCAGCTACCATCTGCTCAGACAGCTCAAACTTAAGATCCAGATCAGTTCGGTCAGGACTCGGATGCCAGGGAGGACTCGATCCACAACGCTATATAGAGCACACGCGCGGCATGGCACACCGCAGTTCAGCACGGCCCAGCACAGCACAGCCGTCGGCACGGTACATCAAGATCGATACACTCAACATTGCACCTTGGCACGTTCCTTGGCGCATTCCGTGGCGAGTCCACCTGGCACGTCGCGCGGCGCGTCCCCTGGCACGTCCCGCGGCACGTCCATTGGCACGTTCCGTAGCGCGTCCCCTTGGCACGTCCCGCGGTGCGTGCCCATGGCACGTCCCTTGGCACGTCGCTTGGCGCGTCCCTTGGGACGTTCCGCGGCGCGTCCTCCTGGCATGTCCTCTCTGTCGATTAGTTCTGGGGTAGCTACCATCTGCTCAGGCAGCTCGAGCTTAAGATCCAGATCAGTTCGGTCAGGACTCGAATGCCAGGGAGGACTCGATCCACAACGCTATATAGAGCACAATCGTGGCATGGCACACCGCAGTTCAGCACGGCCCAGCCCAGCATAGCACAGCCCTCGGCACAGTACATCAAGATCGATACATTCAGCATTGCATTTGTCCGTCGCCCAATCAGGAATCAGGTGTCGTTGAAACGTTGCCATGCCTTACATTTCTATCTTCCTTTCCGGGTTCGTGGGTCGATCATGTTTTTGTGTGTCCCTGGTTCCCTTTCACAATCGGAGAACGGGTGGGCGGCCACCGCCACGAGCACGCGGGGACGGGCAGGCCGACGTCGAGCGACAGGTCTCGACGGCGATCGGGTGGGCGCCCCATGGCGGCAGGCTGTGCGTTTGTGCTCGGTGTCCCGAAGTCCGCCGATCTGCTCGCTCTGTTTTTTTCAATCCGCTGCGCCCGGTGTCCCGACCGCTCCGTCCCAGATCCGTCTGATGGTCCCCGGGGATCCAACGACAGGGGGGAAGAAGCATGGGGGGGGATGCATCGACCCCCAATCGCCCATTGATCGCCGATAGGGGTCTGATAGCCCCGCCCAGCCCAGGACGGTGCGGACTTGCTATCGGGGGCCTATCGACGATCTGTCGGCGATGTATCGCCGATTCCAGGTTGATGTTCCTCCCCCCTGTGCCAGTCCCCCCCCCACCCCAAACCCCCGACGTCCTCGTTTTCGACCCCCAGAGGTCTGCACCCCTTCCCCGGGACCGGTCTTCATCCTGAGTCGTTTCTTGACGATTCATTGGCCCTTAAAGGGCCCCGAAATGCCGAACATATATATATATATATATATATATATATATATATATATATATATTCCTCTTCCTATATTTTTATAAGTCCGGGCGGGGCGAAAACCCGTCACCCCCCCCCTCCCAAAACCGGACTCCCGGGACCTGGGGCTTTGGGGCCCTCCGGACGGGCCTCGAAGCGGCCACCGGGCCTCGCAAGGCGTTTTGCCAAGCCTTCCCAGCACACTTAAGGCGATCAGGGGGGTCATCGGAGACGTCCCAGAGACCCCCAAGACAGCACAAGAGCGCTCCAAGAGTGACCGACGTGACCTCAAGATGGCCCAAGAGGCCTCCAGGGCGGCCCCAAAGAGGCCTCCAAGAGCACTCCCAAGAAGGCCCCCCGAGGCAAAAATCATTGATTTTCTATGGGTTGTTGGTGAATTTTGGGGTTCTCCTCTTTTCAGACGGTCTTCTGGGCGTCCGAAGCCGCCTGGGAGGCTCCCAAATCGCCCCACAACCATCCGAAAGGGCTTCCAGGCAGTCCAAGAGAGTCCCAAAACGGCACAACACGGGTCCAAGATGGCCCTCAGAGAGCCCCATGGCGGCCCAAGATGGCCCAAAGACACCCCCCGAAGAATTCCAAATCGTGATTCGGTCGTTCAGGGAGACGGCGGTTGGAGGCAGGGTGGCCTGAGGAAGCCCCCAGAGGCCCCCAGAATGCGCCCAGGAGGCCTACAGAAGGCCTTAAGAAAGCCCGGAGCAACTTTTGTGAGGCCCCTAGAGGCTCTCCGAGGAGGAGCCTCCGCAAAAAAAAAGCTGAGGAGGATGCGGAGAATGCGCAGGGTATGGCGAAAATAAGGAACAAGAAGCATGGAGGAATATAACGAATAACATCATTATAGCGGCGATGCTGGAAAAGGCAACCAGGAGTTATCGCTAAATTGTCGGCTTGACCTTCCTGCCATTCCGCCTGCATGCCAAACTTCAAGGACCAAGGTGCATGGCGCGAAGCGCCACTGCAGTCTTGTATATATATATATATATATATATATATAATGCGCTGCGCAGCGCGAGGGGGAGGTGCGAGCTGCGAGGCGCACTGAGAGGTACGCATTTGGTGCTTCAGCACGCGCGCGCGCGGCGAGCGGCGCGTGGGCACGCCTCCAGAGGGCGCTCGACGGCCTGTCAGCAGGAGGGTGAGGAGGAAGAAGGAGGAAGGAGGGAGGGAGGAGGAGGAGGAGGAGGAGGAGGAGGAGGAGGAGGAGGAGGAAGGAAGTAGGAGGAGGAAGGAGGAAGAGGAAGAAGGAGGAGGAGGAGGGGGAGGAAGAAGGAAGGAGGAAGGAGGAAGAAGGAAAGAGGAGGAGGAGGAGGAAGAGGAGGAGGAAGGAAAGAGGAGGAGGAATGAGGAAGGAGGAGAGGGGAGGAGGAGGAGGAAGGGGGGAAGGAGGAGAGAGGAGGAGGAGGAGGAGGAAGGAGGAGAGGGGAAGGAGGGGAAGGGTGGAAACGTTCAGGGCCCGAGGGGGCCTGGGCCTACATCGCTGCCCCATCAGGGGGGCCTCTCGCGCCCCGCGCAGGCCGTGCCGCCGAAGCCGCGGGCCGGCAGGCGGAGACCCGCGAGCGCCCCTCCTCCGCTCTTGCGGCCTCGCGCCGGAGGTGCAGCCAGGGCGCCGAAGGAACCGGAGGCTGATAGATCGGGGGTGGACAGAACCCCCAACAGTGACACGTCGATTAGTGAATTGTCCGTTTTCGGTTCTCGAAAGGGCGCCGTGGCCGTCATTTTCCAGGCTTGCGCCCGCCAGTTTTGGGCCTCAGGTCGTTTTCACGAAACCATGTTTTACGAAAGGGGGGTCTGTCCAGCCCCGAATAGAGCTCCTTCGGGTAAAGCCAGGACCCCGGGTAAGGGGACCCGGTTAGTGGTAGGGCCCTGGGGCCCCTCAATTGGCCAGATTCACTAAACCAGGTTTGTCGTAACTGGTGTTTTTCGGGTGACGGCAGTTCCTGTTAGCGGAACGGGGCGGGGGGGGCGCCCCTTGGTACACATCACTAAACCAGGTTCCACTAAACCCAGTTCTACCAACGCCCGACTCCTACCCTGACACGTCGATTAGCGAATTGGCCGTTTTCGGTTCGCGAGAGGGCGTCGCGGCCGTCGTTTTTGTGGGTCCAGGTCCGTCGGTGTCATGCTTAGGCCGTTTGCACTGCAGGGTGGTTTGCTAAAGGGAGGTTTGCCCACCGCCGCAAGAAGGGCTTCGTCGGGCCTGTCCATCTACAGGAGGAGAATCCAGAAATAGTCCACAAAAATAGTCCCGGGAGGATGCTTCGACTATGTTCGAGGATTTCTCTCGACTCTGTTCAGTTTGTCGTCCAGGGTCCGCCTGTGGGAGGACATGCCCGACCTGAAAGAAGGACCGCCCGCCTCGGGCTCCGGAGGCGCTCCGGGTTCCGGGCCGCCCCTCGGCGATCCAGGTCGGGGCACCACTGCCTTCGCGGCCGGGGCTCGCCTCGGCCAGGCAGGACCGCCCCGCGCCCCCCGTGGCGGCACGCTGGCTGTGGCCCTCTCGGGACTGCTGAACTTTGCGCAGGACGTACCCTATCCCAGGAGTTTCTGCAGGGACGTACTGCCAGTTCCAGTGGTCCACGCGTGACTCTGTGCGGGAGAGGTTGCTTCCGTTCCGAGGGCGCTTCGGCCCAAGCCAATGAATTCCGACCGCCCTTGGGCGGCCGCGACCGTGGCCGCGGGCGCGTGGGCCTGGCAGGCCATCCTCCCGATCCTGCCCGCGGTGCCCGAGGCGACGTGCGAGGCGGCCTCCCACGAGCCGGAATGCTCGTGCGACGAGGAGCTCCGCGAGCTCTCAGGCTCGTGGCGACCTCGAGTGGTTCCGCCGGTGCGCGCTGCTCCTTGCGGCGGCCTGCGCGGCCTAGGCGTGTGCGCCCCACGCTGTTGCGCGGCGGAACGGGCCATCCTGGACGCTGGCTGTTCGTCGAGCTCGTGCCGCACGCGGAGGTGGCGGCGTGGCAGCACGACGAGCACTCTTGGCACACGGCGAGCCTGTCGTGTGGCGGCTGCCCCACCTGGCGACCCCGCGGCCAGCGTGATAACCTCAGGTCGGGCGTGTCCCCCTACAGGCGGATTTTGGACGACAAATAAAACATACCCCCAAATTAGTCCAAAAATATTCCAGAATAATCAAAAAATCGTCCACTCACGATTTGTTTCAAGTATTTGCTGATATTCCTCCTGTAGAGGAACATCGGGGGTGGATAGACCTCATACCCTGACACGTCGATTGAGGAATTGGCCGTCTTCGGTTCGCGAGAGGGCGTCGCGGCCGTCATTTTGGCGGGTCCAGGTCCGCGGGTTTCGGTCCCAGGCCGTTTTCGCGAAGGGGAGGTTTACTCAAGGGAGGATTGTCACCAGGTGCACCAGTCGGGGGTTTCTCGTCCCCTCCTCCTGTGCGGAGTGTGAATGCTGCACCTGGGTGTCGGCCCTTCGTCCGTGGCCGTGCCCTCCACGACCGCTCGTGGGGCCGCTGGGTTTCGTCTCACGCCCCATCCTTTGTGGGTGCCGCTCACCTCTCTAGTGATGGCGAAAGGACGAGCTTGCAGTCTTCAGTGCATGCTGAGTCGAACGGAAAAAAAGTGCACCAGTCGGGGGGTCCACGGCGAGAGCGCGGGGGCCTGGGAGGACAAACTGCACCTCCATGCTCGCGGGCTCGCGGTGGGGCACGGCGGGCTCGACCCCGCGAGCTGTGCACACTTTGGGCTGCCGGAGGGTCGCGTCATCATGATCGAGCGGGCGGAGGGCGTTAATCCCAATTCGGGCCCCGAGCGTCGAGTGTCTGCACGACAGGGTCGAGCACGCGCAGGAATGCAGGGCGGCGCGACTACGAATGACTCCGTGGCTCACATGGCGCAGCTTGCGGAGATTGAGGCGCGCGCCCTGAAGCAGAGCAGGTTGCTGCGGAGGAAGCCCGGCGCGAAGAAGAAGAAGAACAATGAGAAGGAGAAGGAGAAGGAGAACGGAGGCCCAACCACAGGAGGCCCAATGACAGCAAGGAGAGCAAAGATGGAGCTTGACGCCTAGCTGCGGGCCGGCCAGCGCGTGGCCAATGTCCGGCGGCTGTCTCTCTCTTAGGAAGGCACCAACTATACACCAACACCGATCCTGGCCAGGATCACCCTGGGCCCAGGATCGGTGTATACGCCCTCCTGCCTTGCGCAAGAAGGCATATACACCGATCCTGGGCCCAGGGTGATCCTGGGCCAGGATCGGTGTTGGTGTATGGTTGGTGCCCTCCGATATCTCTCTCTTTCTGTCTTTCTCTCTCTCTCTCTCTCTTTCTCTCACGGGCACTCGACCCTTTCCGGCCCGCCTGGGCGGCGACGGAGCCCGGGCTGTCTCGGCAAGCGGCCTCGAGCCTTGGTGGAACGGCGTCTGCCCAGTTCGCGCAGGTCGCCGCCTACAGTCAGCGAGCGAAGAACGGTATAAGATAAAGTTCTTCGCTGTCGGGGGCGCCTGTCCCTGGGCGGCTGGAAAGTTTATACCCCCTACGGTGCCACCGTAAGGGTATAAACTTTCCAGCCGCCCTGGGACAGGCGCCCCCGACAGCGAAAAACTTTATTTTATACCGTCTTTCGCCCGTTAATACAGGGCACGCGCCGGCCGCGGCGGCGCCGCGGACGTGACCGGGGCAGCATCTGCGCGCGGCCGCGCCCCAGGGCCGCGGGCGGAGGACGAGGAGCGAGGATGAAGATGAGGAGGAGCAGCGAGGACGATGAGAAGAATGATGGGGGGGCGATGAGCAAGAAGCGAGGAGCGAGGAGGAGCGAGGAGCAGGGAGTGGGGGTCGCGAGGAGGAGGGGGAGGAGGAGGAGGAGGAGGAGGAGGAGGAGGAGGAGGAGGAGGAGGACGAGGAGGAGGAGGAGGAGGAGGAGGGGGGGGAGGAGCGAGGAGCGAGGAGAAGCGAGGGGGAGGATGAAGAGCGAGGAGGATGTGAACGAGGAGGATGAGGAGGAGCAGCAACAGCAGCAGCAACGAGGAGGAGCAGCGAGGAGGAGCGAGAAGGAGGAGGAGGAGGAAGAGGAGAAAGAGGAGGAGGGGAAGAGGGTAAATAGCGGAGGAATAACGAGCAAACCAGCGACTTCTTGCGTTCTCAAAGTAAATGCGCTGAGCAGGTACATAACGGAAAGAGCGAGGTACGAGTGATGACGTTCTGGTGTGGGCGAAGCCCTAAAGGGAGGGGTTCCAGGGGAGGGGGGTAGGGTGCCCAACTGCGGTCTAATGGCCGTTTTCGGGTTTTCCTTCGGTTTTTTGTATGTTTTGTGGGTTCTCCCCTTTTCCGTCCCAGAAGGGCCCCAGACGACCCAAGAGGCCCCAAAGATCGGCCCAAGAGGCTTCCGAGACGCCCCGAGAGGCGCCCAAGAGGCTCCCAAGAGGCCCCCAAACCGGTCCAAGAGGGCGCCAAGACGGCCGAGAGGCGCCCAGGACGGCCCAAGAGGGCCCCAAGAGGGGACCACGAACCGAAAAGTTTAGCCTTTCGCGCCAAGAAGCTCCCAGGAGGCCCCCAGAGCCCCCCAAGAAGCCCCAAGAGGCCCCCAAGAGGTTCCCAAGAGGCCTCCAAAAGGGCCCGACAAGGGCCCCAATAGGACTCCCAAGAAGGCCCAGAGACGCCAAATAGAGAGCGATCGGTAACGCAAAAAGCTCTTCACACCAAGGCTCCCAAGAGCGAACGGTGACGTAAACAAGCTGATAAGACCAAGGCTCCCAGCAGAGAGCGGTGACGTAACAAGTTCCTGACACCAAGGCCCAGCCAAGGCTCAGGAACGGGCGGCAACGCAACAATCTCTGAACACCAAGGCTCCCAAGAGCGAGGGGTGACGTAACAAGCTCTCAACGCCAAGGCTCCCAGTACGAACGGTGGTGTGAGTAATTTCGGTTTCTGTTTCTGAAGCGCTCTTTCCGTTTCTGTGCCGGGCCAGGTCTAGTGGCCTTTTTCCAGCCAGTCCGCCACCGTGCCTGGGTTGTGGACCAGAGGCCCCTTAGATGTCTCTTAGGAGGCCTCTTGCAGGCCTGTGTGGGGCCTCTTGGACATCCTGGGCGTTCCTTGGTGGCATCGAATGGGGCCTCCATCCTTGCAGTCTCGGAGGCCATCGTGGGGTGGAGACTTCGAAATGTCAGTTCGTGTGTCCCCCTGTTTGTCCTAGGGGCCTCGTTTCCCCTTCTTGGGGGCTTGGGAGCTGTTCTGGGGCGGTACTGACGGCTCGTTCGGTCGTCTTGGGCGTTTTTATTAAGGCCGAAAAAAGCGAGAACGCTACAATCATTGACAATTTTTAGTTGTTCAATGATTTGTGCCTCTTGGGGCGGCTCTCAGCGCCTCCAACTCGGTCCAAGAGTCGCCCAAGAGGGCTCCAAGACGGGCCATGGGACCATCGTAGGCCGTGCTGAAGTACTGAACTCCGCCAACACTCCCGACGCCTCTCAAGATGTCACGCAAGCCTCCCAGGTCCCAATACAGAGCATACAGCCAAACCGTATAATAAGGATGCGTGGTACGGATGCAAGGGCCTTGGAAGGCCACGCCGACATTATGCGGGCGGGGGCGCGGGCAGCGAAAGCGGCCAAGGATGGGCCGAAGGGGCAAGGCTGCAAGGGTACCCATCGGTCGTTGAAAGTCGGCACTTTTTGGAGGCCCAAGTCCCACTCTGCTTTTCGCCGTCCTGCTTTGGGAGTCGAGTGGTGTCCCCTCTCTCCCTCCACTTCAGGGCGCGGGCGGCAGTCCGATCTGCTGCCGACGCACGTCTGCTTCGTGTGTCTGCCCTCGTCTAGGGCTGGCGAATTTTTTCCCGAAAAGGGCTTAGGCCCAGGGTTCTCTTTTAGTTGTGTGTTCGCCCGGTTTTGACGGCTGCAGGGCCGGCGAATTTCTTCTGCGATGATAAATAACGAGGTCGCCTGGGGCCGGCGAATTTGTGTTTGGCGAGGTCTCGAGCGAAACGCCTGTTGCTCATCTTCCGACCGACGCGCTGCCTCGGAGAGTCGCCCCTCCTCGACGTGTGCGGGCTGGCTCGATCAAGAGAGCACCCAGCGGAGAGAGGGCCCCCGCAGAGGGGGCCCCCGCGGACGCTCCCGCGCGGTTTGCCCGCGGCACGGCGGGCCTGCAGAGAGGTGCGGGCGGGTGGCCCCGAGCCTGCAGCGTCGAGCGAGCGGCCGAGGCCGGGAGGCGAGAGAGAGACAGAGAGGGGATGGGGAGAGAGAGAGAGAGAGAGAGAGAGGGGGAGGAGGGGGGGAGGAGGGGGGGAGAGGGGAGGGGAAGAGAGGGAGGGGAAGAGAGAGGGAGGGGAGGCGAGCAGAGGGGGGAGGAGAGAGGAGGGGGAGGAGAGGGGAGGGGGAGGAGAGAGGGGAGGAGGGGGCGGAGAGGGGAGGGGGAGGAGAGGGGAGGAGGGGGGGGGGGAGAGGGGAGGGGAAGGGTGCCGAGATAGCGGGGGAGCGAGCAGAGGGAGAGGGGAGGGGGAGCGGTGTAAAGGGATCTTCTGCACGCGACCCGCTCCCCCCAGACCAGTCCCATCGTGATGTCGGCCAAGCTGCCGGTCACTTACCCCGAGCCCCAGATCGATGTCGGAGTGCTCCCAGCCTGCTCGGCAACTCCCACGCGGCGTGCAGTCCCTCGAAGTATGTTCGTGAACAGGTCTCCACTGCGGCGCCGCCAGAGAGCATCCACGTCCGCAGCTGGCGGGTCCTGGCATGGACCTGAGGGAAGAAGTGTACGTTGAGATGTTCCTGCCCTCGGGGGCGGGAGGACGCCACGAAGCGGGTGAGGGGTGTGCCGACATGTGTGGGGCGGACGCATGCGAGCTGCGCCACTTGGGCCTTCGGTGGAGCTCCCGATGGGGCCACGAAACGTGTGAGGGACGTGCCGAAATCGAACGAAGGTGCGAAGGAATGCGGGCTGCGCCAGTGGGGCCTTCGGTGGAGCTCCCTGTATGGGGCCACGAGGCGTGTGAGGGGTGTGCCGAAATGGGTGGATTGGACGCGTACGTTCTGCGCCACTGGGGCCTTCGGTGGAGCTCCCTGTGTGGCCACGAAGCGTGTGAGGGGTTTGCCGACATGGGTGGGGCGGACGCATGCGGGCTGCGCCAGTGGGGGTTTCGGTGGAGCTCCCGATGGGGCCACGAAACGTGTGAGGAGTGTGCTGGAATCGACGGTGCGGACCCATGCGGGCTGCGCCTGTAGGGCTCTGGTGGAGCTCCCTATCTGGGGCCATGAAGCGTGTGAGAGGTGTGCCGACATGGGTGGGGCGGACGCATGCGAGCTGCGCCAGTGAGGCCTTCGGTGGAGCTCCCGATGGAGCCACGAAACGTGAGAGGAGTGTGCTGGAATCGACGGTGCGGACGCATGCGGGCTGCGCTTGTAGGGCTCTGGTGGAGCTCCCTTTCTGGGGCCACGAAGCGTGTGAGGGGTGTGCCTGAATGGGTTGCTGGGACGCGTACGGGCTGTGCCACTAAGGCCTTCGGTGGAGCTCCCTATATGGGGCCACGAAGTGTGTGAGGGGTGTGCCGGAATGGGTGGCTGGGACGCGTACGGGCTGCGCCACTGGGGCCTTCGGTGGAGCTCCCTATATGGGGCCACGAAGTGTGTGAGGGGTGTGTCGAAATGGGTGGCTGGGACGCATGCGGGCTGCGCCAACGGGGTCTTCGGTGGAGCTCCCATGGGGCCACGAAGTGTGTGAGGGGGCCATGAAACTTGTGAGCGGTGTGCAGACTTGCGTGGATAGGACGCATTCGGGCTGCGCCTCTGAGGCCTTCGGTGGAGCCTCCTGCGCATCTGGGGCCTTCAGTGGAGGCTCCTATGGGGCCACGAAACGTGTGAGGGGTGTTCCGAAATGGATGGCCTGGACGCGTGCGGGCCTCCCACTGCGGCCTTCGGTGGAGCTCCCTATGGAGCCACAGAACGTGTGAGGGGTGTGCCGACATGGAAGGTACGGACGCATACGGGCTGCGCTACTGGGGCCTCGGGTGAAGCTATGGTGCCACGGAAAGAGTGACGGGCTTGCCGACATGGGCGCAGTGGGCGCGTGCGAACGCAGCCATTGGGGCCTTCGGTGGACTCCCTACGGTGGCAACAAACGTGTGAGGGGTGTACCGAAGTGAGTGGCGATGATGGCGATGAAGACAGCGAACATACGGTGATGGTCATGGTAACGACGATGATGATGATTCTTACGATGGTGACGGTGATTATGAGGAGGAGGATGCTGATGCAGCTGATGCTGATGATGCTGCTGGAGGAAGGAGGGGCGGAGGAAACGGAGAAGTAAGGGAGACGCGGGACGCTGTCTCGAGATGGGCATGGTGAAATCGCTGGCGCAATCTTCGGATCTTCGAGAACCGGGCTTTCGCCTGAGACACTTGCGACACATTGCGATGTTGAAGAAGCTGCTGCAAGGCCCCGTACGCTAAGAATGAAGCTCGCTCGAGACTAATAATCTCTCGGATCTTCGAAACTGGCGCTCTCGCCTGAGTCATCCCTAGAATCATGAAATGTAGCTGTAGTTGTTGCACGACACCTTTCTGGGGAGTTCTTGGAGGACCCCTGAGATGGCCCAGGAAGCGAAATCGTTGAAAAAACGATGGTGATGCAATACTTCTGTTCTATAGAAAGCGTGTCGCTCGAGGCATCCACAAACAATGCCCTCGGGCGGGTTGTCAAAAACATCATATTATGATGAAGATGCCGATGATGGCGCTGATGATGCTGATGAGTACGATGATGTTGATGCTGATGCTGATGTCCTCGATGATGCCGAAGTTGATGCCTGCGCTGGTGCTGGCGGTGATGCGTGTAATGTTGATCGTGATGGTTAGGGTGATGATGCCGTTGCTGAGGATGCTGTTGATGCTCGTGATGGTGATGACAGTACTGATGTGGTGGTAGTGTCGGTGGTTGTGATGGTGACGATGCTTATGGTGATACGATGATCAACGTGAGGGCGAGCCGAGGTAGGAGGAGAATCAGAAACTGGCTGGTGAACGTTCGGGGGTTGCGCGTCCATTGATATCCCCTGTGGCCGTTCGGACGCCCACATCACAGTTGACCGTGATGATTATGCACGTTTTTGCACAGCTCGTTGCTTTCACGCATGTCCCGCTCATGTCAGGAAAAGGTTTGGGACGTACGCGTTTCGCTGGAGACACCCGAGAGAAGCACCCGTGGCACGCCCCCAAAAGGGGGGGCACGGCAGAAGCCCCCCCCCCACCCCTGGCAAGGCAATTTCAGCTGCGAAAGGAAGGGGGGGAGGGGGTAGCTTCCGAAGCCTTCCTCCCCCTTTGAAAGGGAAGCCCGGACTGGCCTTCGGCTCCGGAAAGGAGGGGGGGTGCTGTAATTTTGAAGCCCCCCCCCTTTGCAAACCAATCTCAGCTGCGGAAAGGAGGGGGAGGGGTAGCTTACGAAGCCCCCCCACCCCCGTAGCTCCGAAACGTCCACAAGCGGGGGGGAGGGGGGGGAGCTTCGGACCCCCCCCCCCTTCCGAAGGGAGGGGGGGGGGTAGCTTAAAGCTGGGGCCCCCATTTTAGTGAGAAGTGCGCCACGAGCGCGCTCCTGCAGACATCCTCACCACATTGTGGATCTTCGAAAACATCAGGGTATGATGACGGTGCCGATGGCTACGTTGATGACGAGGGGTATGATGATGTTGATGTTGATGCCATTGAAGATGCCGGACCTGTTGATTGCGCTGATGTTGTCGGTGGTAGGTGTGATGTTGATGATGGTTATGGTGATGGTGTTCTTTCTGATGGCGACGATAATACGATGGCGGTGTTAGTGACGCTGACAGTTGACGATAATGCTCACCACCCACCAAAACCACCCCAACCCAACCCGAAGGCCCAACTTTGCCCTCCATTCCCAGTGGGGAAGGCGTCGGCGAGCATCAAAAAACAACACGTCTGGAACCCGTACTTCCCCCCCCCCTTAACTCGTAATTCGGGTCTTCGGGTTGGGTCGGGGTGGTCTGGTAGGTAATCAAATGCTGGTAAGTACGATGATGAGCTCGAGGCGAGACGGAGGAAACAGGACGAGTACAGAAGAGTGAGGAGGAGAATCAGGAGCAGGCTTGCGAACGTTCGAGGGGCACGCTTCCATAGGTGTCCCCCGTGGACGTTCGGAGAGCTCGCCCACATTACAGTTGATCGTGATGGTGCTGCACGTTTCTGCACAGCTCGTTGCGCACACGCGTTTCCCGTTCATGTCAGGAAAGGGTGAAGAAATACGCGCTTTGCCTGAGACATCCCCACAACATCTTGATCCTCGAGGCGATTGGTAAAGACAACTTATGCTAAAAACTGTGGCGTCCTCACGAAATGAGGATGGTGGCATCGTAGGCGTAACCCTCGGATATTCCAACATGGGATTCTCGCTTGAAACATCCTCGAACAAACTTGATGTTGACATCGCTTGTTTAAGACACCTTATGTTGTATCTGAGGCCCTCGCTCGAGACACCCGTATAACAGAGAGATGTTGTGATCGTTGGCGAAACCTTTAGATCTTAGAACCTGGTGCTCTCAAACATGGTGCTCTCGCCTGGAACCTCCTCAAACAACATTAGATGGTCCAGCAGCTGTTGTACGACATCTTGTGGGGGCGCTCTTGGCGGACCCTTACGATGGCCCGCGAAACTAAATCATTGAAACGCCATGGGTTTTGCAAGTTCTGGCAGAAGTGTTTCGTTCGAGACATCCTCAAATAATGCCTTCGGGCGGGCCTTCGGAAACATGAGAGTATGATGGCGATGCCGATGATGGTGTTGATGATGATTATGATGGCGCTGATGCTGATATTGTTTCCGTTGGTGATGCCCAAGCTGATGATTGCGTTGATGTTGTTCGTGGTGATTGTGATGTTGTTGATGATGGTTCTGGTGACGATGTTCTTGTTGATGGCGTTGCGGATGATGATGTTGAGGACGATGACGATGGTGATGTGATGGTGGTGTCGGTGGCGACGATGATGGCGAAGGTAATCATGATAATAATGCTGATGATGATGATGACGATGATGATGATGATGCTGATGATGATGATGATGATGATGATGATGATGATGATGATGATGATTACGATGACGGTGATGACCAACGTGGGGGCCAGACGGAGGAAACAGGAGGATTACACAACAAGAGCGTGGAGCCTGTGAACGCTCGGGGGGCGAGCGCCCATGGGTCCCCTGTGGACGTTCGGAGAGCTCGCCCACACTACAATTGACCGTAATGGTGCCGAACGTTTTTTCACAGCGCCTCGCTTTCACGAGCGTCCCGCTCATGTCAGGAAAGATTTGGAAATACGACGCTCGCCGGGAACATCCTCACACGGCCTCGATGATGGAGCCTCGCGTTGAAGTCGTCTTATGGGCAGAAGTGTTTCGCCTGAGACATCCTCTGAAAACGTGGATGTTGAACTCGCTGGCGTAATTTCGGATCTTCGGAAATTGGGCGCTCGTCTGATACATCATCGAAAAATGAAGTGTCGGAGGCTTTCGTTTACAACCCCGGTTTTTCAAAATGTGCGTTTCGCACGATACGTCCTCGCAACATGGGGATGTTGGAATCGTTGGCGTCATCGCCACCTCGAACAGTTTGGATGTCAGAAAGTGTATTGTCTATTTATTGTTGGATTCTTCTCGGAGGACCCCTGGACTACCAAAGTTGCGGGATCATTGAAAACGAAGGATTTTAAAACCACGTTTGTTCGGAGGTATGCGTTCTGTCAGAGACAGCCTCAAACCATGCTATGATCCCAATGATGATGACGGTGATGGGGTTGGTAGTGGTAGTTGTAGTGGTGACGATGACGGCGATAAGAATGATGGTCAAAGTGCGGGGGGGGGCGGAGGAAATTGGAGGCGTACAGAGGAGTGAGGAGGAGAATCAGGGACAGATTTGTGAATACTCGGGGGGGGGCGTGTCCATAGGTATCCCTTTTGGGCGTTCAGGGAGCTCGCCTACATTGTATTTGACCGTTGTGTTACTGCATGCTCTTCATCCGCTCTTCGCTTTCACGCGCTTCCCATTCATGCCACGAAATGTTTGAGAAATAATGGTGTCGCCTGAGGCACCCTCAGAACAGCTGGATGCTACAGGCTATCATTTAAGACGCTGTATGGTACAAATGAGCGCGTTGCTTGAGACGTCCTCACAACATGGGGATGCTCAGTTCGGTAGCGTGGTACCCAGGGGCTCTGGCACGGGACTTCCCCGAAACAAATGTGATGATGAAACAGTTGTTTCACGACCCTTTTTGTGGGAAGTTAAAACGCTCGCTCGGGACATCCCCATAACATAAAGATGTTGAAATCGCGGGCGAGCCCTTCGGATCTCAGAACATGGCGCTCTCGCTTGAGACATCCCCATACACACGAGATGCTCCAGGAGTTGTTGTTCGACATATTTGGGGCACCTTCCTTGGAGGATCCCCAAGGTGGCCCGAGAAGCGAAAACATTGAAACAGAATTGGTTTTGCAACACGGTGGTTCTAAAGTAAGCGTTTCGTTCAAGACATCCTCAAACAATGTTTTCGGGCGGGTCTTCGAAAACATCATAATTAGCGAGGAGGAGCGCCAGGAATAGGCTTGTGAACGTTCGGAGGGCGCGCGTCCATACACATCCCTTGTGGACGTTCGGAGAACTCGCCCACATTATAGAGTTGGTCGTGATGTTGCTGCACGTTCTTTCACAGTTCTTCGCTTTCACGCGCTTCCCGTTCATGTCAGGAATAGCGTTGAAACGCGCCTCTCGGTGGAAACATCCTCACAACTCCGATATCTTGGAGGCTATCGCTGAAGACGTCTTGAGCAAGATTTTGGCGTTTCACCGGAGGCATCCTAGAACCACGTGATAGTAAACTCGCTGGCGTAATTTCCGGATCTTTCTTCCAGAATGAGACGATCGCCTCGTACATCATCGAATAATGAGACGCCGGAGGAAATCATTTACAATTTTGCGCTTCTTCAAACTGATTAGCCTTTTGCATAAGATGTCCTCACAACATGGGGATGCTGAAATCGCTGGCGTGATCGCCAGATCTTCGAAAGTGAGGCGCTCGCCTAAGACATCCTCGAGCAAAATTGGATGTACGCGGCGGTTCTCATTGTCATCGAGCCGCAGACTTCGAGCCCGTTCGACTTCCGCAAGCATGCGGCGCTTCACGCGAACCGGCCTGGTCATCTCCCACGTTGGGGTCCTGACGTCCACGGCTTGCAAGGGCGTAGCCATGAACCACGGAGCCACTGTCGACGCCCAGTGCAAGGACGCGGAGGACCTGAACGCCCTCTGGCTGCATTTCTATGCGGTGCTTTCCACGGCGACGACGGTGGAAAACCTGCTGACGACGATATTCGACCCCGTCGTTGATTTCCCGTGGGCCGCCCGCAGACCTGCCTGCGCGCCTGCGGGTGCTTAGCTCCCGCGCTGCAAGGTTCAGGAATGAGGCGGGAAAGCTGGCAGGGGAGCTAGGACCCGTTCGCTGCTGGCACTCGCTACGAACAGCTGTTCAGGACGCGTTTATTCATCTTTCTATGATTCTTCTGGGAGGACCTTTTCGGCGGCCCGAACTGCGGAATCATTGGAGAATTATGATTGTTGGAACACGTTTGTTCATAGGTGAGCGTCTCGCCCGAGGCGTCTTCAAAATGCGTCGGCGGACGGGTTTGAAAACGTCATGCTACTATGAATGTGCGCACGATGATGGCGATGCTGGCGACGACGGTGATGATGGTGGCGGGGCAGTCATTTGCAATGATAATGATGGTACACACGATGGTTACACCGCGGGGGAGGAGGGGAACTGGAGGCGCACTGGGAGCGAGGAGAATCAGGGACTGACTTGTCCATCTTCGGTGAGCGCGTGTCCATAGGTATCCTGTGGACGTTCCCGGAGCTTGCCCACATTGCACTTGATCGCGATGTTCCCGCACGTTGTTGAGCAACTCCTCGCTTTCGTGCGCGCCCCGTGCATGTCAGGAACGGTTTATGAGAAATGCCCGATTCGTCCGGGACAGCCCCAGCAGCATGGTATCGGAAAAAGGAGGTTCCGAGCCAGCGTCGTCTTGGAGCTGTCCTTGGGGGGCCCACCTTGGCCCGAAGGAGCTCCGAGCGGGGGGGGGGCCACAGAGGCAAGGCAGCCCAAGACGGCGCGCCGACGGCCTGAGAGACCTTCATCAGAGCCCTAAGACACGCCCAGGCAGCCCGAGAAGACCCCAGCAGCCCCCAAGGGGACCCAGGCAGGCCCCTAAGAGGCCCCCAGGATGCCCGAAGGTAGACCCACAAGGCCCCAACAACCCTTAGGGCAGCTTCAAATCTGCACGAAGACCCCCGTTTTTCAAAGCTGTTTCCCTCGGGTTCTCTACCGTCCACCTTCGTCGTCGTCGTCCTTTTTCTTCTCCTCCTTTTCCTCCTCCACTTCGTTCCTCCTCTTACCTGTCCTCCTCCATATTTTCCTCCTCGTCCTCGAGCTTGCCTTCATACTCGTTGTCCTCCTCCCTTCGTTGCTCCCCCAGCTATCCACGCTGTCATCCTCGTCATCCACCGCCTAGTCGTCGCCATCATCCTTCTTTTCTTTTCCCCCTACGAGCCGACATGTACACAATCGGTGCTTCCCGTTGTCCGATCAGGTTCACTTGGACGCTCTCCCATTGAACAGGCTTGCTTCCTTGAGTGACTTAAAATTGGTTGTGTGATGGGACTGGCCCTGCATTCACTTCCAGGTGTGTTTATGGCAGCCGTTTGCGGCACGGTCGAATCCGATGTTGAGTTGTGCCGGTCCCCGTCCTATCTGAGGGGGCAGAAGTGCCGGCAGACGGTTTTTTGTGAGCACCAGCGCGCTCGATCCAGTATGCTATAGAACAGCTTTCGTTCGGACAGGCGGGGTGTCTCCAGATGGGGGGTCGGGGGTCGATTTTAAGTATTGGCCTGCATCTAGGGCAAGAAGTCTGAATTAGAGTCAGGGCTGCGAGTCCGATCTTGTAGGGCTTCTCAAGAATCAGGCTCGCATCTGAGAGTGCTCCTGGGACGGATGTTGGCGACCCTCGTGGACACACGTGCGCGCCTGCTGGTTTGGCGCTACCCCTTCACCCTCGGAGGGGCACGGGTTCCATGGGCTTATCAAGTTTCCAGATGCTAGGTTTGAGCCAGTGTGCCCGCCATGCTGCGGGCACACTGGCTCAAACCTTGGAGGAGGAGGAGGAGGAGGAGGAGGAGGAGGAGGAGGAGGAAGAGGAGGAGGAGGAGAAGGAGAAGGAGGAGAAGAGGAGGAGGGGTTGAGGAGGAGGAGAAGAGAGGAGAGGAGGGGAGAGAGGAGGGAGAGAAGGAGGGAGAAGGAGGGGAGGGGGTTGAGGAGGAGGAAGGAGGAGAAGGAGGAGGAGGAGGAGGTTTGATCCCTGTTGACCCGCTACCACGAGCACACCATCTTCTCCGTGCCGCCGTCCAGAGTGAGTGTGCGCGTCTGCTCCCTGCGGCGCTCTCCGGCACGCGCGAAGAGCAAAGCGCGCCACTGGGAGCAGCCGCATGTGGAGGAGGAGGAGGAGGAGGAGGAGGAGGAGGAGGAGGAGGTCATCGCGCGTAAGACTCGTTTCCATGTTCCTCGCTCACCTGCGCCTCCGACGCCCGCTCCCGTCGTTCCCCCAGGTATTCGCGACCACGGCCGCGCTGCTCGCCTCGGCGGGGGGGGGGAGAGGGAGGCGCGGAGCAGCATTCGCCTGCCGACGATGCTGGCTTCAGCAGGACTTCGAGGGAACGCAGGCATGGAGACCCCGCCCCCCTCCCCTTTCGGCGAAAGAGTAAAACTTCCCGCACCGGTAAGCGTTATCCTGGCAACCGCCGTCAGCAGCAGCAGCAGCAGCAGCAGGAGGAGGAGGAGGAGGAGGAGGAGGGAGGAGGAGTCCTCCCTCGCTTCCAAAATGTGGCTCTCGTGGATTAGCGTCGGGTGCCGTTTCCGTACGAATCAGCACGCTCCGTCGCCAAATCAGGCGGATTGGCCACATGTTTCGGGTGGGGCACTTCCCCCGGTCCATGGATTCTTCTCGCTTCGCGGGGTGCACGTGCAGAGAGTGTAAAGTATGTGCGTCTGGGTTTCCCTGAGAGCCTTTTGGAGGCCTCGCGGGGCCTCTTGGAGACATCTTGGGGCTGCTGGTGGCTTGTTGGGGGCCTGTTAAGGCATTTGGGGGACGTCTTCGGCCGTCTTCGGGCGCTCTTGGGTCGTCTGGCGCCTTCGGAGGCCGTCTTGAAGGCCTCGCTGGGCCGTCTTGGTATCCTCTTAGGGCCCTCAAGGGCCGTCTTGGTGGTCTCTTGAGCCGTCTTGGGCAGTCCTGGGGGTCTCTTGGGCCACCTTGGGGCCGTTTTGGTGCTCTATTCGGGGCCTCTTGGGCCGTCTTCGGACCATCTTGGATGCCTCTGGGGCAGTCTTGGGGTGTCGGAAGCCCGAGAAGGCGCAAACGAGACAGTGCTTCAATTATTCTACTCGGAGAGCCCCATCTGTGCATCTCATTCCTTGGCACGTCCCGGTGTCAGGGGGGGCCTCTTGGGCCGCCTTGGAGAATCCTGAGGCTCTCTTGGAGGCTTCTCGGAACGTCCTGGGGCTGCCTTGTTCCGGCGGGCCCACGCGCCAGAGCCGCGCTCCTGTGATCCGTGCTCAGCGTGCGCCCGCCGAGGTTCGCGCGGTGGGGAAGCGTGGGAAGCCGAGCGGGGGCCGAGGTTCGCAGCGAACGCATCGGGACGTCGTCCACGAGGCAGGGCCCTCCTCCTCCTCCTCCTCCTCCTCCTCCTCCTCCTTTCTTGACCAGGCCGCGGGAGCGAGTCCTCCTCGTCCTCCTCCTCCTCCTCCTCCTCCTCCTCCCTCTCCTTCCTCCTCCTCCTCCTCCTCCTCCTCCTCCTCCTCCTCCTCCTCCTCCTCCTCCTCCTCCTCCTCCTCCTCCTCCTCCTCCTCCTCCTCCTTTCTTGACCAGGCCGCGGGAGCGAGTCCTCCTCCTCCTCCTCCTCCTCCTCCTCCTCCTCCTCCTCCTCCTCCTCCTCCTCCTCCTCCTCCTCCTCCTCCTCCTCCTCCTCCTCCTCCTCCCCCCCCCCTCCCCCTCCCTGGCCGCAGGGTGTGGCACCTTCCCTGGGCCGAGCTCCCACTGCTCTCCGGGGAGGGGCTGAGGGGCAAGTGGTGGCACTGGTGTCCCGCCCCCCACCGTGCGGGCCGCTCAAGCCCTAGCCACCTCCCATCGCGGATGGCGGACGAGGAGGAGGACGGAGGGGCGCCTGGTCTGGAGATCCTCCATGCTCCTGTCACTTTGAGTTTGCTCGCCAAGGCTGTCCGTTTCAACGTCACCGAGGACATGTCGCTTAAGCCGACACGCCACAAGACGACCAGGGCGAACTATTCGCAATGTTCGCCGTACTTTCAAAGTGGTTTGTGTCAGGCTCTGATTTGGCCGCCCACCGCTCTTCAAGGAGAACGCGGCATGCAGCTTTCTGACAAAATGCAGAGGATTACGTGCGGAAGTGCAAGCCTTCCACCCCTGCTCGCTTCTGGAAGCACAGATTCATCTCGCACCGATGTTGTCTTTTCTCCTGCGTCGTCACGTCGTCTCAGCGTTAACGTCGGAGGGCCGGCCCCCCTGATCATGGCTTGAGTTTTTGTGCAGCGCGGCGTCGCCTCTGGAGGCCCCCCCGGGCCCCCGAAGCCCGATCGGAAAACAGCTGGAGTCCCCAAAGGCTTGGAAACTGGTGTGTGGAAGTAGCTGGGAAAACAGCTGGGAAAACAGCTCGGGCCCCTTGGGGCTCGGATAACAGCCGGGGCTTCAAGAGGCCCTCGAGAGGCCCCCGAAAAGGCTCCGAGGAGGCCCCAAGATGGCCCCCAATGAGAGAGCTCCGAGGGAGCCTCGAGACGGCCCCAAGAGGCCCCCACAAGGCCACTTAACTAGGCTCCAAGGGGGCCGCGAGTGGGCCACAGGCCACGCTGCATTCTGCAATGTTGCTTCGGTGCTCCAGGGAGCTCCCAAGAAAGTCCCGTTGACTTCCACGAGGCCCCCATCGAAGGGGTTCGAACCGGCCCCTTAGCGAGCTCCACAGAACGGCCTCAAAAGAGCCCCAGACCTCGTCGCATTCTGCACTTTGGTGTGGGGCGCCCCGGGCGCCCCCGAGCACGAGCCCCCATGAAACGAGCTGCGGACCCTGGGAAAGTCCCCAGCCGGACTCCGCCTCCCCCCCCCCCTAAGAGGCCCGATTCATCTCGCGCCTGAGCGACATGATACCAGTGCGCGTGGACGGACCCCCTCACTACGACGTCTGCCATGCTTGTTGGGCCCGCCGTTTGTGCTCACAGTGAAGCGAACGTGATACAAGTGCTCACAGGCTTTCCTGATAATTCTGAATTGTTCCCTCCCCAAGGTCCTGACCAAGAATAGTGGCTGGGAGCGCTCAGGGATCCATGAATTTACGCCTGGTCTCTGGAGCAGTGGAGGTGCCCGTCTTCTTTTTCTACTCCTTCCTCCAGGGGCGAGCCATCGAGGCGGCACATACTCGCATCGATTGAGGACGCAACTAGAGAACCAGCAGTGTGCAATGAGGGATCTGAATTCGTTAGCACGGAGTTCACAGTATTGGGGGCGAGCGAACGGTCGGGCATATATTATATATAGGGCCGCATGATTCACACATGAAGCGGTGAATTGATTTGCAATTGTTGGTGCGTGGGTTGTTGTGACTTGCAATTTCTGCGCAACTTGATGTGTGTGTCCGGGACGGGTGCATGGACATGTTGTGGCCGTTGTAGCCGGGGCTGGGAACGTCTGCGCATTCGGCTCTTACTAGTGTACGAAAGCTTGTAATGGGTGGTTGTCGAAAATGCCTGCTGCGAGTTCCAGGGCACCCTGCCTTGTGGAGCCGCCTGTAGTATACTGGAGACGCACTTTCAGCAGAGAACGGCCATCTGCGAAAGAAAGAGCTGCCACACATGATTACCAGTCGGTCGTTGAATGTAAGTGTTTCTGCACTCCCAGATCGCAATCTGCTTCATGTGCTTTCCTACTTCAAGAATGGATCTGCGTCTGCCGCGCGTTGTCATCCTCTGGAAGGGCCTGAACCCAATCTACGTGATCCGCCTTCCTGCTTCATGTTGTTACCTACTTCTTCCAGCCGACGTGTATGCAGAGGCGTACTCGTGCACGCGGCGTGCACGCGTGCACACACGTGTCTTCATCCTCTAGCGCAGCGATGTGGGAGAAATGGTGGCAGAGGGGCCACGCGCGTACACACACACACACACACACACACACACACACGCGGTCGCATGGGAATGTCTTTCGATTGGACGAACTTGCGGGCAGGGAGGTTGGTGCATAAGTGTGTGTGTGTGTTCCAGGTCGGCAATGTATAGCGCACGTGGTTGTAAGCGCTGGTTTTTCGACAAACATATGAGGCGTTCCGGAAAAAAAAGGCCTTGCCTTCGAGGGTCCAAGGAGTTGTCATCTCTTCCTACGCGGAAGGCGGCGGAAGGTCGGCGGAAGTAAAACGAGGCCGCCTCCGCCGGTGGGGCGGCGGAAGGTGGCGGAAGCGAAAGTAGGAAAGCGCGCCACTGGATCACCCTGTAGTTGAAAAATGGGGGGTCCGAACCCCACCCCCTCCCCCCCTTCAAAGGGGGGGTGAGAGATTTTCGACCCCCCCCTCGCCCCCCTTCAAGGGGGGGATGGGTTCCGAACCCCCCCTCCCCCCCCCTTCCCCCCCTTGGCGCTGGAGAGTGCGGGGGGTTCGAACTCCCCCCCACTCCCCCCCTCTGGGCCAGGGAGAGGGCCTCTCCCGCAAGGGGGGGGGTCTGGCCTCGGGAGTAGTGAGTAGTGAGTAGATAGTAGCGAGTAGTGAGGAGTGAGGAGTGAGTGGCGACTAGTGCGTAGTGAGCAGTGAGTAGTGAGTAGTGAATAGTGGGTAGTGGGGAGCAGGTAGTGAGTAGTGAGTAGCGAGTAGGGAGTAGCGAGTAGTGAATATTGAGTTGCGAATAGGGCGCTGTGAGTAGAGAGTAGTGAGGAGGGAGTAGTCAGGAGTGAGTAGCGAGTATGGAGTAGCGAGTAGTGAGTAGGGAGTAGAGAGCAGGGAGTAGTGAATAGTAAGTAGTGAGAAGTGAGAAGTGGGTATTGGGTATTGGGGAGTGAGTACTGAGTTCTGCGCTGTGAGTAGTGAGTACTGAATAGTAGATAGTGAGTAGCGACTTGCGACTAGCGACTATTGAGTAGGGGGTAGGGAGTAGTGGGTAGTGAGTAGTGGGTCGTGCGTAGTGTGTAGTGAACATTGCGTAGAGAGTAATGGGTAGTGAGTAGTAGTGAGTAGTGAGTAGTGAGCATTGGGTAGTGAGTAGGGGGTAGCGTAGCGAGTAGCGAGTAGCGGGTATGGAGTGCCGAGTAGTGAGTCGTGAGCAGTGAGTACTGTGTAGGGAGTAGCGAGTAGCGAGCAGCGGATAGTGACTAGTGAGTTATGGGCAGTGAGTAGTGAGTAGTGAACTGTGAGTACTTAGTAGTGAGTAGTTGATAGTGGCTAGTGGGTAGTGAAGAGTGCTTAGTGAGTAGTGAGCAGTGGGCAGTAAGTCGTGCTTAATGAGTAGTGAGTATTGAGTCCTGGGTAGTGAGTAGTGAGTAGTGAGTTGGGAGTAGTGAGCAGGGAGTATCGAGTAGTGAGTAGCGGGAGCGTAGTGCGCAGTGAGTAGTGGGTAGTGAGTGGTGCGTATTGGGTAGCGAGTAGGGTGTAGGGAGTAGCTAGTAGTGAGCAGTGAGGAGTGAGTATTGTGTAGTGAGTAGGGAGTAGCGAGCAGTGGATAGTGAGTAGTGAGTTGTGGGCATTGAGTAGTGAGTAGTGAATTGTGAGTAGTGAGTAGTGAGTAATGGATAATGGTTAGCGGGCAGCCAGTTGTGATTTGTCATGTGTGCGTCGTGGGTAGTGAGTTGTGTTCAGTGAGTAGTGAGTAGTGAGTATTGAGTAGTAGATAGTAGTGAGTTGGGAGTAGGGAGTAGGGACTTGTGGGTAGTGGGTAGTGAGTAGTCAGTAGTGAGTCGTGAATAGTGCGTAGTGAGAAGTGAGTACGGAATAGCGAGTAGTGAGTAGTGGGTAGTGAGTACTGCGTCATGGGTAGTGAGTGCTGTTTGCGGCTATGGGCAGGGTTCGGGTATAGGGTTGGGGGCTAGGGTAAGGGTGAGGGTTAGCGTTAGGGGTGGCAGGGGTCGTGTTCCGGAGCCCGGGGGCGCCGTGGCGAAAAGGGGGGAGGGGGGGGGTTCAAATTCGGCGGCCAAAGGGGGGGAGGGGGGGGGTTCGGACCACCCCCTCCCTTTTGAAAGGGGGGAGGGGGGGGGGTCCCCGACGACGGATCGGGAAAGGGGGGGGGAGGGGGGGGGTCCCCGACGACAAATCGGGAAAAGGGGGGGAGGGGGGTTCCCCGACGACGGATCGGGGAGGGGGGGAGGGGTCCCAACCCCTCTTGGGGAGATCCAGCGGCGCACCCTCCGAAAGTCGACCTCGCAAGAGATGAGAACATGTTTGGGTTCAGTGCTTCCGAAACCCGCCGCACCTAGTTGTAAACGATTATTTTTCTACAAACAGACGCACTGTGCGTACATCGATGCAGCTGCATGCGTATGTGCATATGCGTTCTCACAGACGGACGGGTCACATACCTTTAACAGCACCGGCAACCCGCCGATAATAATCCCATGGTCGCATGTGCACATGGAGTCGAAGTGTCAGTTGTTTGCGTAACTGCCGAGCTACCTACACTGAAACCGACATGTGCATGTGTGAACACATTCACAGATAGTATCAAGCCGGCGTATCTACATATATATATATATATATATATATATATGTGTGCATCCTCGAAACATTGGTTGCACTTCTAGGTTCCACTGTAATGGGGATGTCTAGCACAGTAGTCCCGCACTGGAGCCACGTATTTTACATGCTTATAGACCACCCAGGGGGGGGTATCTATAATATGCTTGTCCCGAGCTGGAACCACACGTTTTCACGTCAGGAGCCACGTATTTCATGTGCCTAGGCCACCCAGGGGGGGTATGTGGCATGGTGGCCCCGAGCCGGAAACCCAGGTGTTTTCACGTGTCCAGGCCGCCCACGAAGTTGTATCCAACAGAGTGGTCCGAACTGGAATTGTGCGTTTTTCCCTGACAGCGTTTTGCTAGAGGGTTCCACAAGAGGTCAAAGATTCCTCTCACCAGAATCTCCACAGGAGGGGCGGGGTCGTATCGCCGGTCCGGCGGCTGTCTGGAATGGACTGCTTATAGTGGTCTGGCTCGATCTGGCCTTGCAATGGAGCTCATTCTAGCGTTCTGGCTCGATTTGGCCAAGCAATGGCGCTCAATATAGTGTTCTGGCTCGATATCAGCCCTCGCAGACCCAAAAGTGAGACTCGCTATTGTGTTCTGGCTCCCCTTGGTCCAGACATGAAACTCACTATAGCGTTCTGGCTCGGATTCCGTTCGCCAACATCTCCACAAGGGGAGGCCGGAAAGGGACGTCTCCCCAGTCGGGCGGTTGTCTGGAGTCGACTCGCTATGGTGTTCTGGCTCGGTATCCGCCCTCGCACATCTGGAGATGAAACTCATTATGGCTTTCTCTCCGGAGATGAAGCTCACTTTGGTGTTTGGGCTCGGTGTCAGGCCTCCCCGTTGCAGAAATAAAATTCACTATAGCATGATGATTCGATGTGGTCCAAAAACGAAGATCACTGTAGTGTTCTGGATCGGTTTCTGTTCAAAGATCATTCTGACATGAATCTCCACAAGGAAGGTATGAGTGTTCTGGCTCGATTGCAGGCCTCGCAAATCCAGAAATGAAGCTGATTATGGCATTCTAGTTCAATTTGGTGCAGAAGTGAGGCTCACTATGGTGTTCTGGCTCGGTTTGAGTTCAAATATTCTTTTTTCACCTCCATAGGGGGTGGGGCGAATGTGTTGTCTCGATGTCAACCCTCGCAGATTTAGAAATTAGACTCACTTTGGTATTGCTGCTCGATCTCAGCCGTCGTAGGTTCAGAGTTTGTTGCAGGGGCATCGGGTTCTCACCATTCCAGCTGTCCTGAGTCCAGAAAGTGTGGCAGGGCCATCGGCTTCTCACCATTCCAGCTGCCAGGTGTGAGGTCGTCCGGTCCTGAATGTTGTTCCAAGCGCGCGCATGTCACCAGATTGGCACCACGAGCGCAACCCACATCAGCAATTTGAACTCCGTAATCGCATCGGCAAGCTGACGAGGTCGTTCTCGCAAGCTGGCTTTTCAGGCGTCCATTCGCTTCCACACCCTAGCTGCTATCCGGGTGCTTTGCTGGGGTAATGCACATGTCTAGCGGCCTTCGGCCCATCCCGCCACTTGGCCTGGGCTGCGGGTAGGAAGCCTATTCGATGTTCGTTTCTTGTGGGAGGCCCCTCGGGGGCCTTCATGGAGGCAGTGGTACAACCTCTAGGGGGCCGTTTTGAGACGTCTTGAGGCCTCGTTTTCGGCTTCTTTGGGGCATCCTGGTGGGCGTCTTGCGGGCCTTTAGGGGCCTCTTGGGCGTTCCTTGGGACCTCCTGGGGGCCTCTTGGGGCGGAGGGCTCGGACTGTTGGTTTGCATTCCTTCTCGTGGGCCCTTCTTGGGATTGTCTTTGGACCCTTTTAAGCCGTCTTGGGCGCCTCTGGGGCCGTCTGTTTTGGGGCATCGGGGGCTCGAAGAGTCGAGGACCCCCATATCATTGAACAAACAGTTGGGGAATTCATGATGTTCGCGTCTCGAGGCCATCTGTGGGAGGTTCGTGGGGCTCTTTCGGGGAGTCGTGGAGGTCTCTGGGGGGCCATCTTGGGCGTGTTGGTGCGATCGTTCGGCGACTCGGCGCTCTCTTGAACCGCCTTGAGGGCATCTTGGGACCCTCCTGGCCCGTGTTCGGCACTTCCTGGGCCCGAACAATAATGCGGGAAGACGCGAGAAGGTGTGACAAATGATGGTTCCAGGCCCCGATTAGTTTGATTCCTGAGGAGTGCCGACGGGATTAGACCAAACACCTACGATATATAGTTATAGGTGTATACACATGTGTATATATATACATGTATATATATATATATGTCTATATATATATATACATATATATATATGCGCATGCATCCACACGTGCACCTGCAAGTACATAGATATGTTCTTCTTTGTTGAAGAACAAACTCCACGTCCAGCGGCAAGGTTACAGGTATAGGTGCATATGTGTATACACATACACTTATCTAAGTGAATATGTACACACCAACACAGATACATATAGATACGCCGCAAGATATAGATGTGTGAATGTGCGTAGACATGTATGTGTATGTATATGTGCACGCACAGTTGCGGCGAGCTAAACATAGAACAAGCTATGTGGTTGCACGTTTAACCAAGGAGCTACGCATCAGGTCGACAAACGGTTAACTAGATTCGTTTAGTTGTACTTGCAATTGTATATATATACAGATATGCGTACACGCGCACGTGTACATCTACATGTTCACATATGTGTGCATGAGTACACATGTATATACATGTATATGCATGTACACGCATGCATAGGTTCAATACTGCATTGGCGCTTCGCGCCGTGCACCTTGGTGATTGATGTGTGGGATGCAGGCCAAAGGGCAGGATGATACAACACACCAAAATAGCTACACATCCGTGTTGCTTTTTTGTCCAACATCGTCTGTATATTCATCGCATTCGTTGAATTACAATTCGTTAATGCTTCCTCTTCCTTTTCCTCCTTCTCGCCGTACCCTACAAATCATCCCCCATCCTCCTCTGCTCTTTTTGCGGAGGCTCCTTGTTGGAGAGCCTCGTGGGCGCCTCACACGAAAGTTTTTAAGGACTTCTTGCGGCGTCCTGTTGGCCTCTTGGGCGCCTTCTGGCGGCTTCCCGGGGCTTCCTCGGGCCATCGTGTTTCCAACCGCGGTCTCCCTCAACGACCGGGTCACAATTTGGAATGCTTCCGAAGACGTCTTGGGACCATCTTGGGCCGTCATAGGCACTCTCTTCGGGTCATCTTGAGATCCTGGGGGGCAGTCTTGAGGTTCTCTCGGGTTGCCTGGGAGCCTTTTGGGGGGAGGTGTAGGCCGATGTTCGGGCCTCCTGGGCAGTCTCGGACGCCAAGAAGACAGAAGACAGACTCCCCCAATCATGCAAAAACCATTCAGAAATCAATGTTTTTTCTAGCTTTCGAAACCTTTCCCCCAGACCCCCTACGTCGTGATTTTTTCGCAACGTCGACCCCCAGAGGTCTGGACCTCTTCACGAGGAACAGTTTCTCATCCTGAGTCGTTCATGGCAGCCCCGAGGCACGGGAAGGGCCCCCAGAGGCCGAAAACAGCGCGAACATGTTCCGTCGCAATTTCTGTCCGCAACTCGAGGAGGTCTACAGTGCCGTTTTTAATACATGCTCCGCGTGCGGATCATGTATTATAAATTCAGGGATTTAGCATTAATAACAACGATGGGTTCATGTATAAACTTATTCATAAATTAATAATGGATTAAAAACCTATCTATATGTTTTAATCCTATGTATTAAAAGCTGCCATGTTTGAAGGTCTTCTTTTGTCCGTCCTCGGGCGTCAGGTGGGTGTCTGGAACCTCTTAGAGGCCCTCCACGGGGGCCGCGCGGCCGCCCTCCCAACCGATGCGGCCTCTACAGGGGGGATTTTCCAAAGATAGTCAAAAAAATGTCTGGGGAGTTTTTTAACCTATTTTTCCACAATTTTGGAGCATGTTTGGGATATTGTTTGTTTTTCGTCCAAAATCCCGCCGGGGTGTCCAGGAGCCCCGGGGGGACCTCCTGCAGGGGCGTCCAGTGGACCCCTGGGGACCCGTGGTTCCAGACCCCCTCGGGCAGTGGAAAAGTCATGGCGGAGCGTTTGTCGCTGGTTTCAGCCTCCGGGGCCCTTTGCCGGGCCTCGGGAGCGCCAAAAAACTGTTCAGGATGAGAAACCGGTCCAGGGGGATGGGCCGAGACTTCTGAGGGTCGACGTCGTGAACAACTCATGACGTCGGGGGTCTGGATTGGGAGGGCCTCCCCCCCCCCCCCCGATTGCAAACATATGGGAAAGAGAACACGCGGGTCGAAAACGCGTGCGGCGAGTCAGCTCCGCCCCCTTGCATTTGAAAAGCGCTTGTGTCGCAAAATGTTGAGCGAAGCAGTGCCACGCTAGTGGGCTGGGGGGACACTGGGGATGGAGCCACCTGATGCCATATTAGACATGCGTGCAAGCCATTTGGGCCTTCTTGACCCGCCCTCTTGGGTCCTCTTGGGGGCTCTCCTGGGCCATCCCAGGGTGCTCCTGGACCGCCTGGCGCTTTCGGAGTCTGGCTCGGGGGCCTCAGCCTCTGTGGGCCGTCTTCGGGCCCTCCTCCTCCTCCTCCTCCTCCTCCTCCTCCTCCTCCTCCTCCTCATCGTCTTCGGGCCCTCCGACGGCCCTTCCGAGCCGTCCCAGGTCGCTCTTGTGCCGCACCGGGGCCATCTGGGACCGTCATTGGGGTCGCCGTGAGGCCTTTCAGTCACCGCCCACCAAACCACCCCAACCCAACCCGAAGGCTTCAATTTGCCCTCCATTTCCAGTGGGGGGGGATCGGGGAACATCGAAAAATTACGTGGTCCCCGTACCCCCCCAACCCGAAATTCGGGTCAAATTCGTGTCTTCGGGTTGGGTTGGGGTGGTCTGGTAGGTAGTCATTTATGGGGCAGCCTTGGGCATGAGGGATTGCGCCTTCGGCGCGCGGCAGACCGCCCCCGTGTCCCTCGACCCAGGGCCGCCAGCGCAGGGCTCGCAGGACTTTGCAGGAGCCCCCCAAGAGGCCCAAACGCTCCCCCTAAGAGACACCGAGCATCCCCCAAAGAGGCCAAGCAAGTGTCCCCGAGAAGTGTCGCGTCATGCTTTGCTGCTGTGGCGTTGCCCAATCCAGCGCTCCAGAGTGTCATCGCGGGAAGGGGTACACGGAGGGAGGATGGAAAGGGAAAAGGATGAGGAGGAGGAAGGAGGAGGAGACGGAGGACGACGATGACGAGGAGGAATGGCGGGATGAGGAGGACAAAGAAGAGGAGCAGGGGAGGAAGTGGGAGAATGAGGGGAAGAGAGAGAGAGAGATAGAGAGAGAGAGAGAGACAGAGAAGTGGAAAAGGACGGGAATGAGGACGGGGGGCAGTGGGAGGAGGAGGAGGAGGCACGAGAGTGTTCGTGAGAGTGTGTATCATTTTCCGCACAGCCTTGTAGCTACACCCTCGCTCCCTGAAGTTCAATGTCACACCCGAGACCCGCACCGCCCCCACCCCCCGATCAACGGGAGCTGGGCCCTGGATTGAGGGATAGTGGCAAGCCGAGCACTTCGGGGGCAATGCCCTTGGGACGTGGCGAGCTGCAAATGTTGGGCTCAGCTGCGGCGCGACGTCCTTCCTGAATGCCGGTGGTAATGGTGTTTGCTTCGCGATCCGGTTTGCCGCACCCCTCCAGGCAGAGCACTCCCCTCCCCTTCGCGCCGTTTCCGTTCCACCTGTTTCGCCAACCCGGCGGCGCCACGAGGCAGGAGGATGAGAAGGAGAGGACAGCAGGCATATGAAGCATAACATCGCGAGGAGCAACGAATGAAGAAGGACCGCACTGAATAAGAAGGGGGTAGAAGGCGAGCCGTGAGGAGCCACCACCGGAGCATGTTGCGCCCGCAGGCGGGTCGGAAGGTGCTCAACGCCAGGGAGCGGGTGGACCGGCTGATGGCGTTGCCCACCGTGGACGAGGCCTCTTTCCCGCCCAGGGCCCAGACATAGTCCCTCACCACGCTACCAGAAACCTGTGTCTTGATTCTGCTCCTCCTGCTCATCATCATGCACGCCATCTTCCTCCTCCTCCTCCTCCTCCGCCTTGCCATCCTCTTTGCTCTCTTCCACGTGCCATATCCTCCGCCAGATCACAAACAGCATCATCATCTAGCGCGTTAGATGTATCATGAGTGTTTGCATATTCGTGGAGATTTATGCGAGTGCATACCGAGGACTCAGATTCGAGCATCATGTGCCTCCTCACAGTTTACGGAGGGCGCAGGTGGGAAGTTTCTGCGCACAGACCGCGCACAGGCTCAGGAAATGCCCGAGCGACAGCATCTTGCAGTTGCCCAGGGTCATGGAATCTTGAGCGTGCGCTCCTCCATCTCTCAGGAAGAAAGGGGTGGGTGCGCCACCCGAGTTCTGGAGTACACGCACTAAGTAGATACAAATTCTAGACGCTTCGCGTATCCCCACCAGCCCGTCCAGAAACGACGCCCAGGCGAGTAGAGGGTCGTCCTGAGGGGCTTTTCGGCGTCTTGGGTGCCTCGGGGGGGCCTCTTGGGCCGTTTGGGATCCTCTTGGGGGCCTCCTGGGGGGCCTCTTGGGGCCATCTTGGGGCCATCTTGGGGCCTCTTGGTGCCTCCTGGGCGCTTCTTGGGGCCATCTTGGAGGAAATCGATCAAAAAAGAGGGGAGCTTTAATTAGCGCTGCCCCCTCAGAAGGGCAAAATGGGGCCAAGACCTGAGTAAAATCAATGATTCTGGCTTCAAAGAAGAGGGGAGCCTTAATTAGCGTTGCCCCCTCAGAAGGCCAAAATGGGGCCAAAACCTTAGTAAAATCAACGATGTTGGCTTCCTCGCCGAGGCCGTTTTGGACGCTCTGACCGCTCCCCGCCCCCCCTGTCCAGGTCAGTGGGGAGGGGGTAGGGGGAGGGGTAAACCCCTCCCCGAAGGGGAAGAAGGAGGGGTGGAAGAGGAAACTCGTTAAACCACCGACGCCCTAAAGGGCTGGTGGGATTAGTCCCAAGGAAGCACGTTCGCTTCGGGGCCGTCGATACCATGTTGAAAAATACGTGTGGCAATCATGTTAACAGCAGCGAAGTACCGGGTACGTGTGTACACCGAGGACTGGTCAGCCGCAAAGGTGACCTCACTGGTGCCGCTAAGAGGAACCACATTGAAGGGAGAGCGCATCATGACCTGGCCTCGGACGCCGCTGCAGGAATCGATGTTCTTTTTTGTTGTTCAGTGCTTGCTTGCAAAGCGGGTTCTCTGGCTACTGCGGTTTGATGCGCGAGTGATTCTGACACCAGAGGTTCTAGTTCGTTGATACTTGATCAGTGGTCAGCGATCGTGATGCGACGTCTCTGCCGCGTCCTGTCCATATCCAAAGAGGGCGGCAACATGCCCGTCCCAGACGCATCTTCGAATACCCTCTCTTCTCAGAATCATGCGCGCCGACTTCGCATCTGCACCGCAGGCAGATGGAAATACCAAACTCGCCAAATTGCGAGTCCCCGCGTTGTGTAGCCAGGGGGGCCAGATATTCTGAAAGACCCCGCAGCCCCAAGACGCGTTTCCGGCGGCTCTTGCTACAGCGACGTTTGCATCCCGATAACGACAGTTTACTTATCTTGGCTAACACTGACATGTCTGGACGCTGTGGTAAAAGGTAGTGTGGGAGAGTGTGGGAGTGATTTCCAGGAGTGATGTCCCCTTTGTGAATTTATGGGGGGTGTATCGTGAATGGGTTGTATGTGTTTACTTATGCGCCAGGGAGCCGGAAAGCCATCCCGCCCAGCCAGGCCGAGAGCAGTCGTGTTAGGAGTCTACGGGGGAAGCGGGGGTCTTGTTCGGAGACGCTTTGGTCGTCAGTGCTCAATATGAACAACTTTCGTAACAGGCCAGCGGCACCTTGGATTGCACTTCTTCGATGGCGAAACCAGCGCTATCTCTTGACAGCAACACCTTTGGCTGCCACCGCGCGCTTGCACGTGCCCCGCAGGCCCTTGGCACAGGTTCCTGCCACGGCTTGCGACTTCGCCGAGTGAATCACCCCCCTCACGCACTCCTTGTACGGCATCGTGCCCGACACGGGGGGCTTCGCCAAGGAGTCGGCGAAGTCCATGGCGCGGAGCTTCTTCCGAAGCCACCCCCACCACTGTTCCACCTGGTTCACGTGTGCGCTGTGCGCCAGGACGTGCCAGAGGACGACCTCGGCCCCCTCGTAAGCGCGCTGGCAGGCGGTGCTCGTGAGGAAATGTGCGCTGTCGTACAGCACGTGCCACGGGCCCCTCTTATCGACGCGGCCACGGGCCTTGATCGCCTCCCCGCCAAAGCCTTTTGTCCACGACCGCCGCCCACTCGTTAACTCAAGGGAGGAAAAACCACCCGGACTGGACAACTGGCGTTCACTAAGCGGCCGTGGGCGTTCCCTAAACAGCCCTGCCCTGTTCGATTCCTTCTTTGGGCGCTCATGCCAGACGACTTCGCGTGCCGGGGCGGTCATTATGGGGGTGGACTTTTTTGGGCCCTTCTTAACCGAGCAATTGGCATCTTTGTGAACGGTGGCGGGTGCCGCGCCGCAGGCGCAGCAGCCGCCCCACGCGGGCAGCGCCCGGGCGAGCGGCAGCTGCTCGGCGCAGCCGCCGTGCCCCGCCAGTTCCGGAGCCAGCGCGCCCAGGGCGGGCGCCGCCACGCATGCACGTCGCGGCACTTGCAGAAGTTCGGGCGGTCGGTCGGGCCCTTCGGCGGGAGGCCCGGCACGACCCCGCCCCTGCTGAGCGGCAGCTTATTGCGAAACTGCGCGGCTAACACAGGCGGAGGAAACCCTTCGCCAAGGCCACGCGCTCGGCCCTCTGCTCGGAACTGCGCGCCCCTTTTTTGCTCCGCGGGGGCCACCTGCACCCGTGCTCCGAGAGGATGTCGCGCAGCATGGAGTCGTTCACGCACGCGCCCTCCACCTTCGCCAGATCTTGCTGCAGCACCGAGCTGCCGCAGGTGCACTTGGCGCAAAGCTCCAGGAGGCTCTGCACCATGTGCTGCTCGACGTCCTTCGTAATCTTGGAGGGCCGACGGCCGCAGTTCCTGGTATTTCGAGACAGCGCGCCCAGCTCCAGTGGAAAAGCGGTGGCAGCACTCGCTGCAAAGCCGCGGTTTCGGAAAGGGCCCCTGAGGTCCTTCACGGCGCTCGGCTATCTGGGCCAGGTCAAACCGCGCTGCTCCCTCAGCAAGACGACCTGCCGCTGGGTCGCAGAATTCAGACCTGTCGGGTGCACTGTTTCAGTGACAGCGGGCATACTGGGGAAGTCGACGCGTTGGCGCCCAGGCACGAGCTCTCGGAAGCAGATGTGCGCAGTAGGAGGATCGGTCTTGGGGCCTTGAGCCACAACGCCTGCTGGTTGACAATGACGGCGACGATGCTGATGATGACGCTTGAGGATGTCCAAACGCCCATGTCTGCCAAATGTCTGCGCGCCAGCGCGCGCAACCATGGTCTGGCGCCCGAGCGGCGAAAATTCGCCCCCGCCGTGCCCCCCGCGCGCGAACATGTCCGCACTCAACAAGGCAAGTGGGTTTTTCCTTCCAATTGCCCCATGCACCTGCCTGAATTTCGGAGCGGCCTTACTGTTCGCAGCGGCGCGCGCGCAGGCGGGGGCCACCGCACGAGCACCATGTTGCTTGTCGCCCCTAAGAAGTAGTCCGTCTCCGAAATGTCCAAGTTCGCCGTGCTGTAGTTGGGTGCAGCAATCGCGGGGGTTTGGTAGAGCCAGCGGAAATAGGCGCACTGGCCCCCAGACGTGTTGGCGAATCCGACCCGGTTGTCGTGCTTTTGTCCTGGTGCCGCACTAGGAAGGCCAAGTCCCCCAAGTCGTCCAGCACCAACGCATCGTGCTGCTTGCGGCAGGAGGAGCACATCTTCTCGGGGAAGAATTCGATGTCGCCGACCTCGACTTCCAACGGCGACCTGAAGAACGATTTCGCCTACTCGGTCGTACCGGTGCTGGGCTTGTAGAGGACAAGCAGAACTGGGTAGCGAAGCTGGTCTTCCGCGGCTGGGACCGTGGGGAACGATTGGAAAACAGCCAGATTCACCCGGATCCGGGTGATCACTGTTCTCATTCTACCGTCTCGGCAGCGGCCTCTTTTCGCTCTTTGCAGGCGTCAAGGTTTCCTTTTTTGCCAGCACGCCGTCTCTTGTCTCGAACACGTGGTCCTCGCAACTGCCGTGGGTCAACTTGCGCCCCTGCCACACACTCTCGGCCCAGTTGCTCTGCACCGTGTATACCGGAAGCTGGCCGTTTTCCCCCACACTGGCTCGTGTTTCCCAGCCGCGCAGTCTTGTCCCTGCTTGTCGCGCTGGGTCCCTATTTTGTCAGCTCACACAGAAAAGCCGTGTTTGCAGGACTCCTGGACGCGCGGCTTGCACCAACCCTCGTTCGCCGAGCAGGTAAGTCGGTTCGGCCTTGGGTTTCATATCCTCGAGAAGAAGAAGAAGCGCCTGGTGTCGCGATCCTTCGCCCTGTGGAACTGCACCATGCAGTGGGTGTGCAGCGCGCTTTTGCGCGTGGTCTCCAGTGTCGCGATCTAGCGATTCATAACCTAGGCACGGTGGTTCGCTTGGACGAACGAAACCAGGCGGCGCCACTTAGCCGAGTCTTGGACGCCACTGTAATTCCGCAACACTGTAGCAGATTTTACGCGGAACGCCCTGTGCGCCTTCTCGGGATCCGCCAACTCCGAGAAGTCGTTCCTGTCCTGCTGCTCCTGGTGCGGTGCCCTCGGTTTGTCTTTTGCCCTTGGGCGTTCTGTCCAGTCTTCGGGCTTTTGGGCGTCTGCCGTCTTCCCGCCCGTGTCGGGGTGGGCTCTCCGCACCACCCCCCTGTGGGTAGCTAGGACTTGCGCGTCGCCAGAGCCCTTCGCGAGCGCCTGCGTCACGCCGTTCGTCGCCCTCAATAGCAGAAGCACCCGCGCCAGCGAGCGCCTGGCCGCCTGTGCGGGGCTGACAGGCATCCCGCGCCCCAGGGTGGCCTGGAGGCAGCACGCTAAGTAGAAAGCGCATGCTTGAGCCTAAGAGGCGAGCGGATCGAGCACCAAGGCCTGAGAGCACCACAGGGCCGCTGATCACCTCATCGCCCCAAGAGGCTACAATCGCTCGAAAACCTAGTGTGTTCCTGCGTGGTTTCGTTGTCGTCTGTTCGCTTGCGACGAGTTCTTACTGCACCCAGATGCTTCTAAGAGCGTCGAGAGGCCTCAAGGGCAACGGGAACCGAAGTCGACAAATGAGGGAAAGAAACGGACATCCCGAACATTCCCGAAAAAACTCAAGTCGTCCCCAAACTGTACGGTGTCTCATACATGTGCTGGCCTCCTCGGGCTCTCCATGGGCTCGCCGGGTCTTGGAGTAGGAAGGGCAACGGGAACCGAAAATGAGAAATCAAGAGAAGAAGCGGAAATCCAGAGGAGTGTCGGGGACAACACAAGGAGTCCAATAGCACACAGACTGAACGTTTCAACACATGTGCGGGCCTCCTCAGGCTCTTCAGGGGATCTCCGGGGGGCCTCTTGGAGAAGCGAGGGTAACGGTAACCGAAAACGAGAAACCAAGAGAAGAAAGGGAAATCCAGAGGAGTGCCGGAAAAAACGGACGAATCTAAATAGTACCCAAACTTGACGATTTCACACATGTGCGGGCCTCCCCGGGGCCTTCCAGGGCCTATCCAGGGGGCCTCTTGGAGCAGGAAGGGTCACGAGGAGCAAACAACAGAAAAGTAAGGAGAGCTAGCGAGGATCCATCGGAGGTGGGTGGAGGTGGGCGGACCTAGGACGAGTCGGGAGGAGGTAGGAGGAGGGGGGAGATGGTGGGAGGAGGTATCAGGAGCGACAGAAGGGCGTACACGTACATGAATCCACGCTGGTTTCGGGAGTACGTATTGCGCAAATGTTCGTATAACGCGGCCGGTCTCGCGGGTCGAGGGGCCGTGTTCATGTACATAGGTGGGCGCGTACGTCCTTTGTGGGCTCCCTAAGGTAGGAGGTAGGAAAAGAGGGAATGGGCGGGAGGAGATGGATGGGGAGAACTTCCTCGGCCTCTCCAGGGGCTCTCCGCGGGGCCTCAAAGGCAGAGGGAACCGCGCACGAAAGATGAGGGGAAGAAGCGATAACCCAGAGGAGTGCCAAAAACACATCAAAATAGTACCCAGGTTGCACGATGATGCACATGCGCGGGCCTCCTCGGGCTCTCCAGGGCTCTCTCTAGGGGGGGCCTCTTGAAGCAGAAAGGGCAACGGTAACCGAAAACGAGAAATAAGAAACGAAAATCCAAATGAGTGCGGAAAAAAACGAATCTGTCAACATAGCATCCAAACCGTACGATGCTACACATGTGCGGGCCCCTTCGGGCTCTTCAGGGGCTCTCCGGGGGCTTCTTGGAGCAGAGAAGGCAACGGAAATTGGCGCAGCGCGCTCCTGACGGCGTCGACAGAGGTCCCGGGCACTGCGTGAAGCAGCCGATCTTGAAAGACCTCCGTTGTCGGAGATCCCGAGGCGCGCCTGGAATCGCCACCTGCGGTCGCACTGCCGCAACGCCGGGCCGATGTCGGTGATATTGATGGCGATGGTGATGGTACAGTGCCGTTTTTAATACATGCTCCGCGTGCGGATCATGTATTAAAAGTGCAGGGGTTTTGTATTAAAAACAAAGATGAGTTCATGCATAAATTTACTCATAAGTTCATCATGTATTAAAAAAACCTAGATTAAAAAATCCTGTGTATTAAAACCTGCCCTGTAGTGTCCATGGTACGCACGCGCACACGCAAGCACGTTGACGACGAAGAGAGAGAGAGAAGAGAGAGAGCGAGGGAGGGGGGCGCGAGCAGCGGCCGACGCCGCCACCCGGGAGCGGTGTTCTCGCCTCCGCGCCGGCCAGTCCCCAAGGTCGGGGGTGGACAGAACCCCCAACAGTGACACGTCGATTAGTGAATTGTCCGTTTTCGGTTCTCGAGAGGGCGCCGTGGCCGCTATTTTCCAGGCTTGCGCCCGCCAGGTTTGGGCCTCAGGTCTTTTTCACTAAACCACGTTGTACTAAAGGGGGGTCTGTCCATCCCCGACAAGGGTGCCCGCAGAGCCCCGACATTATAAATTAAAGAAGTCAATGTTTCTTCCTTTTTTTGAGGCACGAAATTTTCAACCCGGCTACCAAGAACCCTTTGGAGTCCCCTTAGCAGTGTGTGTTCCGTTGGGAGAAGAGAACAGGCCAGCGTGGTGTTCGTTTGCGTGTCTTTTCGTGCGCCATACGCCTTCACGGTTTTCGAACCCTTCCTCGGTTGGCGATCACTCCGTTCATCTGCAAGAAGTAATCCCTGCAGAAGCTCTCAGGAGTGTATGCTGACCACACTTGGGACTGTAGCGCGCCATGATGGGGTTGGAGAAGGGTTGCGACTGGCCATCCGACCTTCCCGTCCGGACACGGAACCAGGAAAACATGAAAACAGAAAAAATAAAAGGGTAGCTAGCGCGACGGCGAGAGCATGATACAGACGCCGACGCACAAGCATGCAATTACGCAAGCACGCCACTAGCCAACAGTCAACCATGCAAGACTTGGAACGCCGAGTGCATACATTACCGCTGGAACCCCGATGATGACGCCGCAAAGGACGCTTCAAAGGATCTCGCGGAGCGACGAGCCCCACGGCGCTGACCGCATCCGCGCGCCTCTTGGCATCTGACGGCGCCGCGGGACCTTTGGCGAGAACGCCCGCGCACCTCGCGAGGTCTCGGCGTGCCACGAAACTTTCGGCGCCGAACGCGCCCGCGCGTCTCCCACGGCCCCAGAGGCACCTGGAAAACCGCGAGCTCGATCGCCTCCGCGCGCCCCTGGACACTGCAACGGGCCACGATGCCTGAAGTTCCCGGCGCATCCGCGGGCCTCGGAATTTCCAGACAGTGCCAGGAATGGGGGGCCACATGTGAACCCTACGCCCCTGCCCCCCACGACCCTCGAGGGGAGGGTGGGGCTCGCTTCGCTCGGGAGCTCCCGAACGAAGTGAACCCCACCCTCCCCCCTCGGACATCGTGGGGGGTAATCTCAGGAGGAAAAGAAACACACAGACAGAATTAATCGTCAATTCCCCAGAAAATATGGGAAAATATGGGAAGTGGTGGGGAAGACCAAAAACCCAGAAAATATGGGAAAATATGGGGAATCATTTTATTTGTGTGTATTTATTTGTGTGTCCTGGGGCCCCTTCATAATCGCGGGGGGCGGGCGTAGGGTTCACAGGTGGCCCCCTAAGGAATCCCGCGGCGCAGGGCACCGTCCGCGCGCCGCGCCCCTCGCCGCGCCCGCGGCGCGCCGCGGGCGCGGCGCTGGCGCTGGCGGCGCCGCCCGCGGCGCAGAGAGCCGGCGCCGCGGCCGGGCACCCGCGGCACAGCATCCCCAGGGCGACGACGCGCCGGCCGCGAGCACAAACGACCGACGGTCGGCCCCGCACACGGCGGGACCCGAAATCGGGACGACCTTGTTAATCACCGCCCACCAAACCACCCCAACCCAACCCGAAGGCTCAGATTTGCCCTCCATTTCCAGTGGGGGGGGGTCGCGGAACATCGAGAAAACACGTATGGAACCCTTACCCCCCCCAACCCGAAATTCGGGTCTTCGGGTTGGGTTGGGGTGGTCTGGTAGGTAGTCAGTTAAGCAGGAAGTCGTCGCAGCGAAGCAGAGACGGCAATGACGATGGCGACGTGTCCGTCGAGGCCCCGCTCGGACGTCGACTCTGAGTCTGGGCCCCGTTCGGACGTCGCGCCGTTCTTCACCCCCTGTTACGAAGGTTTATTCAGATGGGCTCAAGTTGACATGTCTGGGCGCTGGTGCGACAAGTAGTGTGGGAGTGATGTGTTCGCTGTGATGGCATACGGGGAGATATTCACAGTTGCATGGAAGTGGCGTGGAGCGATTTCCCCCCTGTGAGTTCATAGGGGGGAGATTTTATTTTTAGATTGTTAAAATTATCAATTGCACCAGTGAAAATCCCGGAAAGCTCTCCCGTCCAGCCAGGCCGAAAGACGTCGTGCTAGGAGTCTACGGGGTGACGGGGGGTCCCGTTCGGACACGCCCTCGTCGTCAGTGCCCAAGACGATTCATTTTTGCAAAGGGTAAGTATTAAGAGGGATGCGCGGCTCGCACGGAAAACCTTGGAGTCTTAATACCGAGGGAGTTCCTCACTCGTCGTTGGAACGGAGACAGCGCGCATGTGAAGCACATTACGTCGGTTGGTCCATCCTCGCGACGAAGCTGGATGGGAGGGTCGCTTGTTCGGATGCGGAGATGGCCCGGCCAAGCTTCAGAAAAACGGTTCCGGTTGAGAAGCTGATCCCGTGGGAGGGCCCCAGGGTCCAGAACCCGTTTCTTCAGGGCCCGTCTTTTTCATGGTTCCAGTGCGTTCGCCCAGTGCTGGAATGCTATATCCGCCTAATTTTTCGGAAGGCCGCGCTAGCTTCTTGGTTTGGCGCTGGGCCCCCCTCCCCTGGCAGCGCCTCCGGCGCCGCAATCTGCCCGCGCCAGGGCACCTCCGATTCAAGACATCCGACAATTTATGTTTATGCAATTGGTCTCTTGGTTCAAATTCACCCCGATCGCATGCAGCCTGTATCGGCCCTGACTAATTGCTTGCGTCGCATTGAAGGGCTTCCGTGGGCAAGCGCACTTTGGCGCTAACACACGTTAAGAGGATCCCCCCCCGCCCGTTATTCATCCTTTTCGCAACGCAATCGCGAGCCCTGCCCTTCCCTGTCTCAAGCGCGGAGGGAGGGCAATCCTAGACAAGAGGGGTATTCCATGTTGTTTGAAGTTCTCTTGCTTCACGGGCGCTCCCTGGGTTTTGGGACCGTCAGGCTGAAGATCCCGTCCGGGGGAGCGCCTGGGGGGTCAGGACACGTTTCTATAGGGAGGCCTCTCTCATGCCAAGAGCGACATTGGGATATCCGATGCCCTCAAAGAAGGGCCGTAAAAATGACAAGCAGGGGTCGGGTCCCCAAGGAGGGGGTGGTGGCTAGATTACTGATGGCGCAGCCATCGACCTCTCGCGCGTGTTGACAATATGTTTACACTGCCGAGGGGACGATCGACAGACAGTCCACAAGTCAAAGCAAAACAACAAGCCTGCGAGTCAGGGCCTGCTGTGGATCCGCCTGGGGCCAGATAGCCCTCTCCTTCCCTCCCTCCGCCCTCCCTCCCTCCTCGCCTCGTCCTCCTCCTTCCTCCTCCTCTCTCCCTCCTCTTCCTCCCTCCCTTCCCTTACCCCCTCTCCCTCCTCTTCCTCCCTCCCCTCCGTCCTCGTCCCCCCCCCTCCCCTCCCCCGCCCTCCCGACGAGGGCTCGCAGGTCGGGCGCAGCCCTGCCACAGGCCGAGTTCGCCCTGCTGGCCACGGGCCTGGGGCCCGTGGCGCCTCCCGCCCCCCCGCAGGAGGAGCTGCGCAACCGCAGGCTGGCCGCGGAGCTGGCGATCGAGGCGGGGCCGGCGCTGCGCAGGGCACTCGAGCGTGCCCCATCCAAAAGCGGTGCGGTGGCCACACCGCGTGGTGAGCCCGCGGGTTGTGCGGGGTGGCCCTGCGGTGTTTGGGGGGGAGTGGGGTCGTTCTCCGAGGGTCTCTCGGGCGGCTGGGGCCCCCTCGGTTCGGGAGTCTCCGGGGCCCAGGGCGGGTGCCATCGGCTGCGCCGGGTCGACGGCGTTGGGGGGGGGGGGAGCGGGAGTCGTCACGAACGGCCGCCCGAGGCCCGAGGCGTGGGCCGAGGGCTTGTCAGGGGGCAGAGCTGGCGACAGAGGCGGCGCTGGCGCCCACGGCCGCAGGGCCAGGGGGAGCTCGCTGGCGCGAGGCGAGGCGAAGCGTGGAGCCGCGATGTTGCCTACTCCAGATTTCGTAATAAAATGGAGGGGGTCTTGACCCTCCAAGACAAGGCATAAACATCGTCCCCAGACCCCCCGGGCCCTCCAAGATAGCCTGGAAGAGACCCCCTCCGAAATGAGACCCCCCTCCCTTTCTTACGAAATCTGGAGAAATGGACCTCGCCGCCCGCCAACCGTATTTCTTCTGCGCAGTGGGCCCAGGGTCCATTGGTCGGGCTGAAGCGATGTCGTTTGATGATTTCAGGCGGCTCGTCGACATGTGTTGGGGCCTGTTGCAGCGCCCAGGCATTCCCCCAAAAGGTTACACTGAAGAGTGCCAGCGCAAGCAGTGCTACACATAGGAACCTCACCTTCAAGCATAGATCCTTAGGTGGAGACAGCAATGCTGGACCACAGGACCACAACCCTGAGATGGCCGCGCGAGGGCCCCACAATAGATGAGTAGGAGGAGCAGCAGCAAAAAGAAGAAGAAGGAGGAGGCAGAAGAAGAAGAAGAGCCCCCCTTACCCGCTCCCATCATTCCTTCTTCCCGGGTGCTCTTCATCCGTATCCTTACTATCCTCAGCCGTGTTCCTCCTCGCCATTACTCCTCCTCCTCGTCCTCATCCTCGTCCTCCTCCACCTCCCGCTCCTTTTCCTCCTCCTCCTCCTCCTCCTCCTCCTCCTCCTCCTCCACCTCCCGCTTCCCCTCCTCCTCCTCCTCCTACCGCTCCTCCTCCCCTGTCTCTCTCTCTCCCTCCATAGCCATCTTGGCTCAAGACATTTCCCGCGGGCTTTGCCGCGCGCGGCCGTCCGCTTCTCGCTGCCCCTGGGGGCTGATGTTGCGGGCTGCTGCCCCCGATGGCGGCCTGCCTTCCGCCGAAGCTGTTCGCCAGGGGCTGCCAGGAAGGCCGCCGCTGCCTCTGCCGAACACGCGGCACATCACTGTCTTACAGGGGCTGAGGGCTGGAAGAAGAAAGAACAAAAAAACACTACGACCTCGCCATCTCCCTGGTCTCGGACAAGTGCCTTCAACTTGGTCCTCGGCCTGCGGCCGCGGCGCCCACGCCAGTGGCACCGCTGCTCCTGGACGAGCCCGTGGAGCGCCACATCCGCATCCTTCGCTTGGGTGTCAGGCCTTGCGGCGCGGTCCGGTGGCGTCTGCCGAGGCGGTGGAGGACCTCGGCGTGGAGGCAGTTCGGATAGAGCCTGTCGTCAACGGCGGCTCCGACGACGGCGCCGACTCAACGTCG